ATCGACATCTAACACTCACTAGAGAATTGCTTGCACGAAGACTCCAACTAAAACTTCTCGAGTATGCAAATAGAATACATTACTTTGACTCTAATCGCATATCTAAAATACAATTTGGTTGCAGGGGATTGGTTGTCAAGGTAACTTTCTTTGGTAGGATGGTTACTCAATTAAATGTTATCCTTGCAAATGCGGGTAACCGTCCTCTCATCCTGGTCATTATATCATTATATATCGTTATTTACAATGGGAATGGAATATCTTTATTACTTTATCATGATTAGTCCAACAATTTGAAAATAAATTAATAAAATTTATTTAAACGATCGTCAAATTTGCAAGCGAGAAAACCTTCTTCTCATCTCGAGTGACTTTGCTCTTGGAGAATCCAAGAATTTCATAAATTAATTTTGGGCCAAGGTGAAATTCATGACAATTTAATAACCTTATTTAGTTGCGCGTTATAAGTTTGAAGTTTCAAATAGAAAAAGGGATTGATTATCACTCATTATTTTGGTAAATAAATGACAAAGGTGGACCAATTCTTCGAGTGAAAAGTACAAAAGCACCTCAACAACTAATTTCAACCCAACCACCAAAAATCTAAATCAATTAAAAATTAAGGATGAAGAAGAGGTAAGTATCAATTTTGATTTAACGACCTATTAACTATCAAATGCTAACATTTTATGTAATATGTAGGAAAATATGTATTCCGTCAAATACAAATTTTTCAAAGTTAATATGGGTGGTGCTATGCTGGATGTGAAAACCTGTCGTTAAAAGTATTAGTTTCTATTGTTGTTTATGTCATTACTAACATTATACTTATTCAAGATCCACCTTCGAGTTCTGAACAAAACCACTGAGGCTAACTTTGTTGTTATGGATTGACTGAGATATGGAATATTTGGAATGCCGGCTAAAAGGCTATTCCAAAACGACGGTATAATGAGAGGATTACCACCTACTCATCTCTTACAAATTGCGGTAATGATATTGAAGTTTGAAATTAAGCTCACATATTGCATCGTTAATCCAACAAGTGAGTACATGATTTGCAGGATAGGAAAGGATGAGAAGAGCATAAATCAAACGATCTTCCTGACTTGATTGAGGTTAATTATACTTGCATGAAAATGATGATCAATATTAATTATAAAATTGTAATATTCTCCATTTGATTTGGAGTATATTTTGAACATGCATCCTCTGGTTATTATTTAACTAACCTGCCTACCATGTCTACTTCTCACATGTTGATTTTACAATGCAATTACTTGCGTCTATAATCCACTAAATTAACTGCTATAAACTGTATACAACGTGTAAATTATACATAGTTATATAATCAAGTATATAGTTCTTCAATTATTATATCATGCATGGTTGATACTCAATTATATTATTTTAACTCTAGACAAATGCAGTTTGTATAATTTAAAACCTCCCGAGGAACTTTCCTTTATTACCCACCAGATGCATCCAATTATATACTGGTTGTATTATCAAGTATATAAGCCTTCAATTTCTATACCGTGCACAAATATATGCTTTCAATTTTAAAACCATGCACAAATGACACTTAGTTGTATTCTTTAATGTATATGCAAATGCATGTCGTTTATAACATAATACTACAGTGGAACTTTGTTTCCTCTCGCACTAACATGCAAGCAATTGTATCCAACTACCATTTTAACTCAAATATATTAAACCCCTATGATTCTAGACAATCACAACATATATTCTGCTTTTGAATGTGAACGATCTTAATTCATAATGCTAATGCAAGAGAACATGAATGACACTGTTAATGATGGATGTACTGGATCGGTGCTAGAGATGACAATGATATTGAGAAGAAGAAATACATTTTTATGAGGAAGATACAAGTACCAGTGATGAGGAGAAAGAATAAGTTTTTAGGTATTGTTCATAATTTGGACGAGGAAAATCCTACTCCAATGAAAAAGATAATTGGTATTTGTAAATATTTTATCATCAAATTTTTGTGCTCAATAAAATGCATGAAAACAAGGAAGAGATTACTGAAATGCAAGAGAAGAAGGTAGAGGAAATTGACAATGGAGATAAATGTATCGCTAATGGAGATGGCATTATTATTGGTGCAGATGATGATGTTGCTCATGACGGAGGAAGTGCAAATAAGTCAACATGAAAATGTGCAGTAATCTCTCACGACGAGGAGTAAATAGAAGGGTGATTTTAAAATGACTTTAGGAGTCGGTATGAGTTTGCCTTTCATTTCCGTAAAAAGATTTTAGTCAATGAGTGAGTTACAATGTTGAAAAACACTATGATATTGATCATTTTGAATTGTTGAAGTACTTTAATAATTTGAGTTATCTTATTCTAACAATCAATTTCAATATTTTGAGTATTTAAATACTATCTATTTTTTAAACTATCAAAACCCGTGTATATCACCTGTAATTTTATAATATTGTTTCTGTGGTTGACGACTGAATCCGGCCAACTGGCCGGGCCCGCGACTAGTTAATGTATTATGCTAAAACTAGAAACCTAAATTTAAGCACTACAAGGGGGATATGATATACTTCTGGACAATGGAACTAGTCGTGGTTGGATGTGATACCAATACCTATATGCTTTTTGGATGTGGTCTACGGCAAAACCTAATTCACGGTGCACAAATTCCTTTCTAATCCCATCCATACATAGGTCAAAATGCTCTGTCTAAATGACTCATAATCATTTGAATTGCCCTTACGATAATGTGTCCAGTGCGTGAAGAACTTACATATCTCAATAATCCAAATTATGAGAGAATCTATAAATACGCCTCATATTATCTTCCTATATAAGTTGTTTTTTTTATAGTTAGGTGCTATTGATGCGATTCAAACATGCGATCTCCAGATTGAAAACTAGTGGTATTACCATGAGGTCAAAACCACAAACTTGAATGCCAGAACTTTGGATTAAAATTGAGTTCTTCTTATCTAGTGAGTAAACCATAGTTAGAACCGAATATTGTCAGAACTCGAATGAACTTCGGATTAAAAACTCCAATGCCTTGTAAAGAATCAATACAAGACAGAAATGATTCCAGGGTGAATATTCTTTATTAATGATGTGTTAGTGTTCTAAACATTCCATCATTGATAATGGATTATTATATAGTAATATTGACTTTGGAGGGGGAGTGTGTTGTTGGCGTGTTGATGACCAGAGGAGGTGGCAATTTGGAAGAGAGGAGACTTTTTTCTAGGAACAAAATGCATGGCAAATTGGAAGGGTTCCAAATCCAATTATGTAGACCACCAAAATCCTCATCTTAAAAGGGAAAGAGTGGTTTGTGGCCTTTGTCCCCCCTTCTTCTCCTCCACCTTGACCTCCACAGCCCAACTACACTAAAAATATACTGAAAATATTGGATCTTTTTTATATGTGAGGGAAAAACTACATATACTACTCCCTCAATAATTATGTCGTTGCCCTAATTTTTCAGTCTACTATTTCTCCCTCTTCTTCTCCTATTTCGATAGGTCACGACTACCTCATAATATTGATGTCGTTATTCTAATTTTTTTGGTCTACAATATTCCCCTCTTCCTCCACTATTCCTTCCTCCCTGAAAGTATGATAAAGCTTAACAAACCAGTCTTGATATGGGATGACTTCTTATCAGATGATGTCGAGATCATTTTTATTTCTGTCGTGGAATCTAATTGAAGGGTAACCCTCTAACGTTCAAGTGAAACCATATTAGTTTTCTAGGAGGCTGCACAATTAAAAAAAAAAAGAAGGATAAGACTAATAGATTGATATTGGATGACTGATGATCAGATGATATCAAGATTAGTTGTAAATATCTCGGTCGTGGGAATTTAGTAGAAGGGTCACCCTCTAACGTTCAAGTGGTCGAATTAATTTTGTAGGAGGTTACAAAACCGAAAGGACAAGAATAACATATTGGTACAGGATGACTTCTAATCAGATGATGTCAAGATCGGTTGTATCTTCTCTGTCGTGAAATCTAGTTGAAGGCCATCCTCCAACATTTCAAAATTTCAAGTGGTCAAATTGGTTGAAAACCCTAAATGCCCTAGCTACCGCGCGCTTATTCTCTTGCTTTCATTATGCTTTCTAGTCTCAATCTCTTCTCTCCACCCTTTTATCGTGTAGGTGAGCAAATATAGGGTTTTAGTTGATGAGGGAATATGTCGACGTATTATTATGGCTAGCTAGCTAGGGCTCTCCCCCATAAAGAATGGGTTGCCGTTTTGTCAAATATGGTGTGTGCTTTTGACAGATTCGACGTTTTCTTTTCTGTGTCTATCTTGGATTGGCATTTGCATACCGCATTTTGCACAAGCATTTCGTACACCAAGTTGAACCCCCCAACCCACCCGTAAACCTCCTCATTGGATCACATATGAAAGCAAACTTTGATTTGATCCCATTACCTATGCCATTTTTATGATGATGTAAACCATGTACCTAAGGGCCTGTTTACTTTCATTTCTGTTTCCTGTTTTTGAGAAAACAGATGTTGAAAACAAGTGAAAACAACATTTTGTCGTTTCCGAAAACAGCAGGAAGTTGCCACTTTCTGTTTTCATAGTTGGAAACGAATAGAAAACGGAATGAAAAGTAAACAAATTTTCTTGTTTCGGTTGCCAAATTTATGACATGAAAACAGAAAACAGGAAACGAAAATAAAAATGAACAGGGCCTAAGGTGCACTGATCATGTATATGCTAGTTAGCTAAGTACTAGGGCTCTCGACGTATTTCATGAACATTGTCGACGGACAAGTACACGAATGACAGTAAGGTCTTCTTCTTCTTCTTCTTTAGCTAGCCAAGTACTATTGCTCTGCCTGTTCCCCCCCAAACTCCCCAAGTACAATTATCGCCCATAAATGCAGGTTTCCCACCCTCTATTATTACTGTCAAATTTCTAACAGGCAACCAACCAGGCCCAGACTAAAGCCTAAACATGGGGTTAAAATGTTGGGTGAAATGAATGAAGCAATAAATAGGAATAGGGGAAAGGAATCAAGGATAGGGGAAACTATCAAGTTCTTACATCTGAAACAATGCTTCTGGACAATTCTAAATGATCACTGGTGAGTGAGTAGTAAAAAGACAACGCCTGATGGTTCCAAAACAAAGACACAAAAGCAAAAGCTCATGAAGCCATCAACTTCAATCAGCTATCATGTAAAGAAAGTCATCAACAATATTCAATCAAAATGCAGTTCCATGGCTAGAGCTAGGGCTATAGGGCTTATCCATACGGCAAAAGGAAAAGAGAGACTGATATTTCAGGTTATATGTTTTCTTCACAGAAATGAGACAGTGACCATTCAGAGTGGAGACCCAGCCAGCCAGCAAGTTGATGATGTGGACTCTCAATTTCAATGCCCACCCCCTTTCCTGAAAGTACTATCAAACTCAACGCCAAATCACTTTCTCAGGTTCCACAGCTGACATAACACGAAAAGGAGAGAGTAAAACTAACAAACCACACAGTCACACATACACAGAGAGAAAGCCATTTGTTCAAAGTAGTGAGCCCCTACTGCACGCATGCGAATAATGGGAGCTGTAACTGTCTCACCCCACCATCGATTCAACCTTTTGTCTCCCAACCCTGCACCAAAGTGATAGTCACTCAGACCACACTCCAAAATTATTCAGCATACCCACATCTTACTGTCTGGGGCTACAACCCACATGAAACTTTCCAGGTCCCTGGCATGAATGAAAACCACAACACGCAGAGAATAGGAAAACGAGAGGTTTCGTGATATGAAGAATGCATCACCTGGGCCATATTGCACCACCACCCTTTCCAGCTGCTGTGACAATAATGAAGAAGTAGTTGCGACGAAACTACATCACTCAACGATTGAAATGTTTCCATCCCAACTGCACGAGGCAATCACATTCGGCATCACTGGATGGAAAGCGACGTCTGTACAGGGTTGATTGTATGCTTTTATTTTCCTGATAAGCTCTGATGACCTGTAGTTGTAGAAGTATATCGAGCCATCTGAGGAGCCTGAGGCTATCTTCTCACCGTCCAAACTGAAATCGCACTTGATGGGAAATCCAGACACCCCATGTCTTTCGTACCTTCTGTACTTGTCTAGCTTGAATGGCGGTTTTAAAGAGAAGATTGCAATGTAATCGCCATTCGATTGGGCGATGAATGATGGGTCATATGGATGGATCCTAATGCAGGGACATGTAAAGGCTTCCACATAAACCTGGCAAACAAGGAAAAGTACAAAGTAAAACAGAAGGTTCAGAAACCAACTAAGAATGTTTACTGTACAAAGCCCTGTAATTCTATCAAACAAAGCTTATAGATTAGCAAACTGTGAAATGGACAATTGCAGCTAGAAGTCCCTAAAACATCTCTCTGGAACCAAGGGACATCACGATTTGGAATGTCAAAGTTTTGATCTAGTAAATAACTTTAGTAAATTTGCAAGACGCAAAGCAGGGAATTCATAAGGGTGGCCATGACATGAGTACATAGGATCGTCCAGCATCTCAGTGAAAAGCAAATATTTTACTGCTTCTCCTGACCTTTGCACCTCAAGATGGTCAGAAACCCAGCTTCTAGCAACTATCCTCATAGAGAAGGATGAAATCACAAGGGCCGTGCATTACTTAAATAACCATCATGCTTTTAAGATAACTCAACAAACCATACCATTTCACATACAGTATCCAAGTTAGACAAGTGGGCACAGAAATCTAATCCCTGATCATCATATTATCTTCATTCAAAGCTCCGTGAACAATGCTATTTATTAAACTCTTTTTTAAAGCTATACTGGTACCATAGTTATCCTGGTTATTTCAACAAGCTGTCCAAACATCAAATGCAATAGGCAGCTGTGCAATATACCCATGCTACTGCAAGTTTACAGCTTAGCCTGTAAGAAAGCTAGGACATACTACCTGGAATTCTCTTCCAATCAGAATCTAAGTTAAGTAACAATAACTACCTTTCTTCTATCAACTAACCTTTTAGTCATGCCCCCTTTGCACTAATTTATTCTGGAGAAATTGTTAAATCTAGTGTAATTTCAATTTCTGCTTCTCGTTACATGCTCCTGCATAAAGTGGTTTCTCATTTTGTTCCGCTCATCTATAGGTTTTCACTGTGGCCACAGAGAAATTCCACTTAATTTGCTACTAACATCACATGATGTCTACATTTAAGAAAAGAAGCTGTATCCTTGCCACTTGTCAACAAACAAAGATACTGCATATTTACCTGGTTTGACAATGGCACTTCTCGTGAAACGTCCCAAACAATAATTGCATTTTCAGTGACATTGCCTCCAGAGACATCACTAGACGAGATAAACTGCTTTCCGTTTCTTGTAAATTCAACATCAAGAATCGGGCCGAGACCTCGCTTGTATTCATGGACGACATTCCCTGTCCTAATATCCCATAATCTTATTTTTCCAGTTGAACCACCAGAAAGGAAGAGGCTTGAATTCTGCGGATGGAACTTCACCACCAAAACTGCCTGATCTTCCTTAAAAATCTGAGTCTGTATCCCCTTCTCCACGTCAATCAACCTGGATGAAGAGTCATACCCGCAGGAAAGTACAGTGAATCCATGAGGTGACCATCGCACATCTTTTACTGCTGCACCGTGGAATCTGAATATATGAGCTGTTTTCTGGCTTCTGCTCCAGACATTCCATATGCAGAGGGTGTGATCCATCCCAGCCGATGCAAGAAGATGGGCTGTAGATTGACTATAGTAAAGACGTCAACAAGGTCAACAACACACCCCGTAAATTAGGGTAATGGATTAACAGTGATTTCATTGCATAACCTTCAAACTCAACCCTACATCCAGCTCAATATACAATCAAAATAAAGTTGTAGAAATCGTAAAATCACAGATAGGACACTATGATCTATGAGTTGAAGTTAAAATATTGGGCTACATAAAACTTATGCATAAATGGGAAGAAGATAAGCGAACAAAATAAGCATACCATGGTTGGACGACCAATTGAGAGCATTGACTGCCTTTTTATGGCTGTTAAGAGATATGGACACCCTTTCAGGTATTTGGCTTAGCTTTGCACGTTCACTTGGGTTTCTCAAGGTTGAGACGATATTGTTGGGTAGATCTGAATCCTTTATACTCAATCTAACTGATAAGACGGGAAAGAAAACACATGAGCTAGAAAAAGAAACAAACCATAAGTGAAGTATTACGAAGATAAAGGTATGAAAACAGAATCAAGAACGTAGGCAAATGAGAAGAAAAAATCTTACAGCACCACAAGTTGAAAACCATTACAATAATGAGTTCCAAAGGAATGTAAAGCTACAGGTTCATTCAACGAGAGATGTGAATCATCTTTGATAGGTGATGCAAAACATACTAGGTTCTGGGGCTCTCAGCTCCTTGAATGAGGGGAAAAAATAATCTTCAAAGCATCTTTACAACTTCTACCCTTTCTATTTCAAACGATACATGTACAGAAAAGCTACCTGTTCAATATGGCACACTACTAAGCTGATTTAAGCAGGGCTTACAGTTGTTCTAGACCCTTGCATCACTCAACAATGAATTCATTTCTGCCATGTACAGTTGTACACAACTGTTCTAGTTCACCCCCCACCAACAAGAGAATGCAACAATCACCAACCAGCAGACCAAATTCACATCCAAAGTTTGGCAAGATAGAAACTTGATCCCGACTACTTCAATGAACAAACAAAGCATGTAAAAGATGATATTGAAACATGATATTGAAAGCATCTTTACAACTGTTACCCATTCTGTTTCAAACGAAGCATGTAATACAATGTAGTTGTTCAATGTGGCACACTACTAAGCCGATTTAAACATAACCTATAGTTGTTTTAGTCCCGTATATCACTCAACACTGGATTCAGTTCTGCCACGTTCACAACTCTTCTAGTTCCTCCCCCACCAATTAGAGATAGTGCAACCAAAAATCAACAGGGGACTGGGTTTTAATCAACTTATTTTTGCCCCCGGGGATCCAGCTAATCTCAACAATCAACAACTGACGCAAAGAAAAACAGCTTCCCAGTAAAACATCACTTCGCACAATGAAGATTACACTTCTTCATGAACAAGCAGACCATCAAAACGCATCAGCCCCAAATGTAAAGTCACAGTACCTGGTGAAGTTAGAGCAGCAGGGCTCTGGTTCTGTTCCTGGTCCTGATTATCAATGGAGGACTGTTCAGGAGCCGGGATACTCTGACTCAAAAGAGCCCGCTCTCGCTTGGATATGTATCTTCCCGGCGCCGGAGCATCTGTTTGCACGTTGACAACTGTATCGGTTCTGATACGCTTCACTGGAGGAGGGTGTCCTGAACCAGAGAATTGGGGCTGGAATCGGTATTGAGACGGCGGAGGAAAGACGTTGAGCCGCTTGGGTTCCTGTCGGCTCTGCCGCTCTTCGTCGTCGTCGGAATTGGAGTAAGCACTGCAGAGGAGATCCATTCTTTGTTTTCTTTTTTTTTTTTTTTTTTTTTTTTTTTTTTTATGGTCATTCTTTGTTTTCGAATGAATGTGAAAAGCCGTTTCTCAGGAGAAGAGACGAGAATCCACCTACCTAGATCTTCTGTAGAACTCGGCCTTGGGCCTGGAGGCCCCTATCCACCAATATTCTTTTGGGCTTCTACTTGGGCCAGAATAATTAATAGGATCTGCGTTCTATAAGTTCTTAGATAAAGTCAACGGTCAAAGTCATGAAATAGCAGGAACTGGCTGCCTCTCGCTTGATCGGATCTTCCTCTTCCCGCCGGCTTGCTGAAACGCAACCTCCGCCGCCGGTCGTTCTTGTCTCTGCCGCTTTTGACGGCAGCTGCCTCTCTCCGAGTTGGCGGATAATAATAAAAAAATGCAGCAAATTAACAAATAATTAAACCGCCTCGTGTTCTCACTTCAAGCCAAGGCAGTGTCGTGCCAAACACAATCGTTCTCTGTTTCCGACTACAAACAAGTCCTCGAATTGCTCTCCCGGTTGTTTTGTTCGGGCGGCGGCGTCTCCGGTCAGCAATGGATGGCGTTGCCGGCTGAGGCTTGGCTCTTTCTCTTTCGATCTGCAATTCCGTCTTTGCTCATCCCACCGGCCACCTTTCAGCTTCCGGGTTCGTATTCTGCCATGGCCAATTTCTGATTATCTTTTCCTTCCGGTTCGATGTGTTGTTGCTTTCTTTCTCCTGTTGCTCGATTTGTCTGTTTGGCCATTGATCTTGATTCTTGAACTAATTGCCCAATGGAACTTGTTTGGAAGGATGGGGTTAGCTGACCAGCTGAATTGCTTGCTTTTGCGAAGGCATGCTCTTCTTCTCGATTCAGATTGTGCGAACTAGTGCCAGCTCCTTTGGAACCATAACCAAGCTTGTATTTATTCAGTTGACACTGTTGGAATTTCTACTGGGAACCTGCTCAGCATAGTTGGCCACCTTTAGGATTCAAGAGGGTTTGAAGTTTGAGATGTTTAGCTTCATCCAATGGTAGGCTGAGTCCTGGAAATAATAGTTCGGATAGGATCTGGTATGCAATTCTGGATCTTCAAGCGCGTATTGGACAGAGATTTGTGTTATTGTGCTTGAGTTTGTGGGTGGACATGTCTAACTTCAAGAGCATACATTAAAATTAGAACTTCACCTGCTGGGGGAAAAAGTTGACATCCCAGTCTCTTCTTTTCGGCTGCAAACTGTTGTATTGAAAAGTAGGATGTGATTTTGAACAGTAGGATGTGAGAAAATCATGGATAGATATTGTCATAGTGTGTCCATGATACTGCCTTGTTGTCTTTCAAAGTGTTTTCGCTCCATGGTTCACTGGGATAGGTTTTTCATGGTGTTGGCTGTTGGTTTTCCTAACCATTTGAAATTTTAATGCATTCATGAAGTTTAAGATATGCGGAGTAGGTCTTTCTGTTTTACTTGCCAATGTCTGGCACAGGGTCAACGAGTGATTTACTCAACTCTATACTAATTTACTAACATCTTCTTTGAAGAGCTCATCAATGATGGATACAGTATGGGAACTTAAAACTCTCGAAGTCTGTTTTAAGAAATGAAATCCATGAAGTTCAACTGCTAACAAACTTTTGGTTGGACTTTCAAATGAGGTTCCAGGTTTGTTGAATCAAGTTGGCAGAGAATAATTTGGAGTTGACTGAGCGTTCAACACAGCAGTCATAGACAAATCAGCACTTGTAAGACTGGAAGGATGGGTTCATTCAAGGGTCATGTTGTACCTGGTTCACTGTTTTTGATCATTGGATTATGGCACATATGGTGTTCTCTGGTTCGCTATATCTCCAATCCTAAGTCTTTCAGGGTCCGGGTTTGGAATCCGGTCCCGGGTTTTGAAGGGAAGTTGAAGCACTTGGAACTCTACATCATCGTGATTGGATCCTTTATAGACCTATGCATTGAGCTTTTGTACTCCACACACCTTAGGTTTTTCGTCAACGGAGTGCTCAATCCCAGTCACCTGAACAATTTTGAGCATACAGGGATGTTGCTGATGTTCTTTATCCTTGGTGTTCTCGCGTTGCTATCAGAGAAAACAAGGTCAGTGCCTTTCTTTTACCCCTTCATTTTTTTGCAATTCTGGATGCAACACTGTTGGCTGAGAATGTGCCATTGCTTCATTTCTCTGCAACTAGCACAAGCTTAGAACACTGTGATAAATAATAGATGCTTGAAATTGTATAATCTTTGATGAAGATGTCTCATTATATTGCAAAGGAAGCTCACTGTATGGAAATGCTGCCCACTGTATTATCACCAAGTTGGTGATTTTGTTTTGGAATGAAACATTAGTCCTTCGAATAAAAGATAAGAGGATTCTCAGATGATTCGCCTGCAAAACAAAGTAGAAGCATTGTTTTCTTGTAAACTACTACTAGCCAACAGTAGTCCCAAAGTTGTATCCAAGTTCAAAAAGTGAATAGAAAAGGAAATATGACAGAGAACAACAATGAAAAGCAGAGTTTTGCAGTCATTTTTTGTATTTGACCGGCAGATTCACTCACTCTTCGACTGAATAATGTATCATTCTTGGTGCCCGAGAAGGGTCAGCTATTTTATTGAGAAGCAAAAACATGAAATCGCATTTAACGTTAGAATTGCCATTCAAATGAGACCTTTTCAAGTTGTTTAGTGTGTGTATGGTTTTGAAATCTCATTTAGGTTTGATGGAAGCAATGTAAACTAGGAGCATACTTGTCTTGGTTTACCCTGTACTTTTTCTGTGACTAATTATCAATTTTAGTTATCTCAATATTACTGTTGGTTTTCAAAATTCCCCATTGGTGATCGAATTGTATGTTCAGGTTTCTACCCTTGCCAGATGGAGCGCTCTCCCTCGTAGCCGCCACTGCATTTTGTGCAGAGTACTTGCTGTTCTACTTCCACTCAACAACACACAAGGGCCTCGAAGGGTACTATCATCTCATCCTCGTACTCCTGATAGGACTATGCGTGGTCTCCTCTGTGGCTGGAGCACTCCTCCCGGCAAGCTTTCCAGTCGACTTGACTAATGGTATTGCCATGACTCTCCAAGGCCTATGGTTCTACCAGACAGCCTTCAGTCTCTACGGCCCAATGATGCCAAATGGTTGTCAGCTCGAAGGAGATCGAATCGTTTGTGGATCAGCTGTCAGTCGCGTTCGTGGCGAGCTGCTGGCTAACGTTCAGTTATTCTCCTTGGTACTTGGGGTGCTTGTTGCTGTCGTGGTATCATATGGTTATGCAGCTTCCAGATATGGCCGCGGGGAACTTCGCAGGTAAAGAACATGTTCACTGACTGTAAGTGAATGATGCATCTCCCCAGCTCCTAACTACTCGTTTTTTGGTGGTGATGTTTGGATTTCATTGACATGGAAAAATGAAGCGAATGATGGTTGTGATGCTAACAGTCGATTAGAATAGAATCTCTGATCTCTAATTCACTTGGGTTGTAGAATTGTGGAATTGGATTTTGGATACTTGTAATATTCTTCATTCGATAGAATTCTCTTCAGTTTGCCTCCCATGGTAAGATGGAAGGTGACAATGAACATATCAGCATACATAATCTTGTTGTACTTGTCATGCAAATTGCAATCTCACATTTACCCTGAGAAAATCGTTGAAACTGTCTTGCCCACAAAACGATTTAACAAAGTACAATGACCAACTTCTATAAACTCTAACGCTAATAATAAGGAGGCCAAACGAATGACTTGATTTTGAGTTTTCTCAACCACATGTATGTTTCTTTGTTGCTCAGTTCTCTTTCCAACTCAGTGAGTCTGCTTCTGTTGTGTTTCTTTCTCCAGCTCCCTCTCAAACCTTCCCCCTTGATTCCAGACCGATGATATCCCCTTTCGGGCTCTTGAAGATATATTTTTATAGGGTTGTTAGTGATTTGTGTTGCACGTCTGGCCTGGTGATTCGTGGATCAGACAGGGCATGTTATGTTGAAATGGCTTCCCAAAGTGACTATAGAAAGTCACTTAGAGATGATGGTTCGTTATCTTAGTCAGGGTGCGGCGACTGATTTGTCGGAAGGGTCCTTTCTCTGCGAGTATTGATTGTCGATCTCCTTTTTGGTTGTTGGTGCAGGTTTAGAGTGGTCCTGTGAGCCGCAAACCGAACTATTATAGAGTGGTGCGTAAAACTATGTTGTTATCTCCTTTAAATTTAGCTTCCTTTTTTTAGGTTTGCTTCACTAGTGTGTTGCCCTATAAGGGTGTTTAGGGGTCGGGCGTTTCCTAGTAGTTTATAATATTTCTCTCTTGATATCTCTTGAAAAAAATACAAAAGTTTTGTATGAAGTATAACGGCCAGCTTTTTTAATAACATTAATACTAATAGAAAAAATGTTCAACTTCTGGGACAAGAAATAAAAAAAAAAACTCTAATCAATATAATATAATACTCTTTGACAAATTACATAATAATAATACATGCTTGATTAGATTGTTTGTATGTCAAACAATTTTCTAAGTTATCTCCTACATGTTATCACATTTCCTTAGATCGTTGGTTCCTCCAACAATGGTAATCGGTTGGTCATTAATCGATGATGATAACGTCTGGTAGTTGTGGAGCTACATATAGTTTAGGAGGTGTTATAACTCTCCTCTATCTAAGATTAAAAAGTAATATGACATGGGATAGTAACATCCTCTTCTTCAATATCTAAATTCAATTGTAGAAAATTGATACAATTTGTCATTTTCAATTTCGCATTCTAAGTTCTAATTTCACCACGCACCTACGAGGTTCGTTAATGCATATCAGAATGATATACAAGCTTCTGGGTTGGTGAGGATACCTAGAATTTGGACAAGTTTGCAGCCTATAATAAACAATGGTTTAACGTTTTCGCCATTCACTGTCAAGCAAAAGCATGGCCGGCGGGCCGCTAGATAATTCCAGTTTGCTTTTCTGGGTGCATAGTAAGCTAAGGGAGCAAGCGTGCTTAGACTTTTGGTTGTATTTCAATGAAATAAAATACTGTTATCTTCGATAATGTCAAAACCCTGAGAGCAACAGATATACATTGTTTAGTTATTTGTTTCAAATTAACAATTGAAAATCCACCATCCACTTCCCTCTTGCTCACAAAAGATCCCACTTCCCTTGCCCACTAAATAGGATCTTTACTACTAGAATAAGTAAAGCATGGGGATTAAGCTCTCTAGCTTTATGGTATATACAAACTTCTGGCTGTAACAGATTAGTTGTTGGATTGAATTTAGAGTGTGGTGGATGTTATTATTATTAATTTAATTTTTTCGAGATTTGTTTAGATGGCCGTGCGAATCAAAGGGCTAATGATGCTTATAGTTTCTATAATATGTTTGTTTAGTTAACAAATAAAAACATTTTCATGTTTTTTATTCATTTTTTATTATTTTTTGTTGAAAACTTCATCCAAATTCATTACCGATTGCTTCATGTTATGTAAGCATTAATTATCTGCATGACTCAGTTCCATGCGTGTATTTTACAAATTTATGTGTCTGCCCCCTCAATTCGGCTCATGAATCTCATAGATCCGAGCTCTCGACCTTGTTTTTTTTTTATATAAAACTCTCGACCTTGTTTTAGTTACTTTCTTGTAAACAATTCATATATCTTTTGACAAAAAATAGATGAAAATCTAGCATATCCTACAAGTAGTGCTTACTTATAACATGGACCAAGGATCTCACTTGTAGCAAATTCGGATGAAATTTTCTACCGAAAATGATTGAACAATCTTTTTCTTACCTCGGATTTCATTAAAGGTGTGCTTGATTACTAAATTTGAGCCAACCCCTATCAGAAACTAATTTGGAAGAAACATTCGAATGGAATTACAAACGAGATAGTTATATTACTAAAAGTGTCACTAAACCCTAAATTAAAACTAACTTTTAAGCTTGATTCCTTGGTGTTGTTAGTTTTGGGTGGCCAATTTATATTTATTACATAGTAATTAATAAAAGGAATGCAAATGGTTTTATTGTTGGGTCTTACACGGAAATTGTTGTTGTTGGACAATGACATGGATGGATTGTAGTTGTAGCAACTCTATCATGCAGCCAATTGCCAAAGTGGCATTCCCTCTGCTCTTTCATGGTTGGAACGGCTACTTCTATAATATCCGTATGTGGCGGATTCGTATATATACGGTGTATTTGGGACTTTGAGTGTATATATGTACGTTGATGAAAATTAGTTGACAACTTGACATGCATGAATTTTAACAAACTCAACCATAACGTTTTACGTCATAACTCTATAGACGATCTAGTTTGCGTCTCACGGGACCGATCTGAAAACTGTACAATCCGAACAAATCAACTGACAAGTGACAACATCAGTTGAGCAAAGGTTATAAATTGATCTAATGGCTGGGATAAACATTGGTCTGTGATTAGTGGTTAATGACTTCACGATAGAACAATTAACCTAACATAAATTCCAGCTCAAGGTTTTTCTATTTTTGTCTTTTTAAAAAAAATTATGTGTGAGTTTTGTCATCTTGTGCGAGCCCAAAAACATAGTGGTGGTACATTCGGACCTCCAATAACACTTGAAATTTGACTTATGTCATGAATTCTTGGTTTGTGGCAAGACAAGGACAAATGCGCGTTGACATACAGACAGACTCGTGTGAATATAAAAAAACAAACAATATTGACTTATGACAAAGGTCAAAATGATCTTATCATTTTTATTCTTGCTGTGTGTGACAATACGTAAATGATATTAGCATTGACCTTAACACTCCCCACATTTCACCACTTCAATCCTGACATTATGAAGAAATGACTTTCAGAAGAAAAAAAATAAGAATTTATGGAAAAAAATAAAATACATTAGGACAGTGAAAAAAGAAGCACAAATTATGAGAGGTAGAATATGTAAAATTTCAGAGATAGAATTTTTATTATGTGATATATATAATTACTTCTTTTCAGTGCAACTACAGAAATCAAAGATATTTATGGATGACATGAATGGTTTTATGCGCTACTGTGCACTCTTGTGGTTTCTGAACTTGAACGATTGTTTTTGCGAATTAATTAGTAGGTGGTGATTACATTAGCACGAACAAAAAAAATTGGAATTTTATGGCGCCGTTCTTGTAAAGTTTGTAATGTGTGAAAAAAGGTTAATTAAGTGAAATCTAAATTGCCTTATATACCCTAATTTAATTGAAAGTATGTGGAACAACATATTTATAATGATTGTTGGCATCAATTTTGGAAAGTAGATCAATCACACAATCTTCTCATTAGATGATCATGTATATCTTTCATATAACACATCCATGACCTTTAATATTAGTTGTTATGATTTATACATGATCAAATAAATGATGTAGCTAGCTACTATAGTATTTTTTTTTTTTTTTTAATATATACCAAGAAGAGGTCTTCATTTTAGCTCCTATTTTTATAGTCTCAAATTAATTTGCACTCTGCCAAGTAGTAGGTTAATCATAACTTATCTCCCATATCAAGTAGTGTTAAATTGATACTTTCATGATTGTATGAGGAGGTGCTTAAGACCCAATTACTTACTGGATGAATGAAACGTTATTCGTTTGTTTTGGATAAATAGTCGCCTCATTGAATATTGGCCGTGATTGATACACTGAGACGATCGGCCACATGAGCTAGTTAAATTCCAACTACTCATATATATTGACTTGCAATTTATTTACCAATAGTATATTTATATGGACTATGGTGGCTTCTATAGTACTGTAGTGAAAATCGTGTTTTAAAACTTACGGTTTTACAATTCTAGGTCACCAAAATGTTTCTACATATATAGAATTGTGTTTCTCGCTTACAATTGTGGTCCAAATCCGCGCTTTAAAGTTTACAAACTTACGTTTTTATACTTCTAGATCACTAAAATACTTATACATAGAATCACGATTTTGACTGCTATTGCTTATGATAAATTTAGAGTACCACATACTACGAGTAAGAACACGCTTTCCAGACTTCAAATTTAATGTATTTAAGGGCATAATACTGTATACCATAACCCTTAATTAAAATTCAGTAGTATAATATCATAAGCCAAACTCCTATTACTTCAAAATCTAAATATAATTTTCTTGCAAATTATATGCGGTACTCCAAAATTTTCTCAGAGTAATATAGAACTCGCCAGATATTGCCTCGCCCCTAACTTCATTTTTTAAGGGGTTAATGCCACATTTGGTCACTGTGATTACTAAATTGTGTCATGTTTAGTCACTAGAAAAAGTTAATATCAAATTTGGTCACTCTAATTACTAAAACAGGTCATATTTAGTCACTCTCCGTTAGTCTCCGTCCAACTCCGTTAATGGAGTCCGTTATATGCCGACGTGGCTAACGGGAGCGCCTAATCAGCGTCATTTTGACCCAAAAATGGTCAAACCCGACCCGCCACGTCACCGAACCCACCATGTCATACACCCAACCCAAACTATTAAGCCAACCTAACCAAAAACTAAACCCTAACCCACCTAACAAAACCCTTTCTCCTTCCCCGCGATGCTCTGCTCTGCTCCTTCCCTTCAAGGTGCAAAAGACACCCAATTAATTCCCGCTGGAAGTCGCTGGAGAGCTCGTCGTCGAGATCCTTGAGCAGATCCTCGCCGTAGGTGGAGCTGTAGACTTCTCTTATCAGCTTCCGCTGGGCGGCGTTCTGGTGCGGCAGGATCGAGATGATCAGCGCCTCGCTCGTCCCCCATCATGATCGTTAAACACACCGAATCAAAAATCACGATCAACGGACGAGATAATCTTGAGATCTACCGACAATAATTGAGATAGAAGAAGTAACGTCGGCGATCTAAACGATCGGATCTGATCGTCGGAAGAAGGGATCGTGCTAATTGATCTATCGGAGAGAAGAAAGGAAAACAGAGAGGGACGGGGGAGGATTAACGGGGGAAGGGAAGGGGAAACCTGAGAATGCCTTGTGGAGCTGTTCGGAGTCTTCAGCGGCGTCGAGAGCCTGGTGAGGAACAGTGAGAGTAGCCATATCGCTGTGAAAATTTGTTTATCTAAACGGTCGTCGTCGTCGTCTTCGATCTCTCTACAATGGGTCTCGTTTGTTTCTTTGCAATCCCCCAGGTCTCAAGCGCCTCCAGGCGAGGTTCCCCAACATGGAGGTGGCGATTCTCGAGCTATCCCTAGAAGAATGCGGCAGCAACATCGACGCCGCCATTTATTGCCTCTGCCGTCTCTCCCTGGAAGAAGCGCTTGCCGCGAAACCCGGCCCCGCGGTGAAAATCAGCAGCGACCCCCCAACCCAGTGGGTTGAGTTGTTGGTGGAGGAGATGGCGACGAGCATGGATGACGCCAAGTCCCGAGCCGGCAAGGTTTTGGAAGCTCTGGAGAATTGCACCTCGCAGGAAAAGGGATAGCGTGGAGCTCTTCATCTCTCCCTGAAGTTCGATCGAATTGGTGAACCTAGAGGAAGGAGCAGTTCGCGAGGAAGGAGAAAGGGTCTTGGTCTGAAAATGGCCACTAACCCAATCGATTTTCCAATTTTGTTTGGTTAGGTGGGTTAGGGTTTAGTTCTGGGTCGGGTTGGGTTAATGGTTTTGATTTGATGTATGACATGGCGGGTTTGGTGACGTGGCGGGTCGGGTTTGACCATTTTCGGGTCAAAACGACGCTGATTAGGCTCTCTCGTTAGCCACGTAAGCACTTAACGGACTTCATTAACGGAGTTGGACGGAGACGAACGGAGAGTGACTAAATATGACATGTTTTAGTAATTAGAGTGACCAAATTTGATATTAAATTTTTCTAGTGACTAAACTTGACACAATTTAGTAATCACAGTGACCAAATGTGGTATTAACCCATTTTTTAAGTTACAAATTTTAGTTAATTAAGAAAATCACATAGTCCACATTATTTATTACGTCAACACCCCATTCACGCTGACGTAGAATAGACGAACGTTTTCCAGAAAATAACAAAATAATAGACCTTTTAATTTCAATTGATGAACTCCAAATTTGAAAAAAAAAAAAGGTCCACTCGACTCTGTGGAAAGTACTTAATTCAGACTTGTTGATCTCATCTCACTCACACTGAAGGGAAGAAAGTGAGTGGAAAACATACACTAGACTCTTTTCTTGCAGAAGCCATCAAGGAGTTGACCAAAAGAAAGACTACTAACAAAAATATCCTCACAACACAAACAAACAAAAAATCAGTATTAAAAAACTAAAGATTTAATAAAAGCTGAAGAGGAAAGGAGATGGAAGAGAGAAAAATGTCAACTACCACCAATCGTCAAATTTTATAATAATTGATCGCCACACCACGAGCTTGACGAAAAAAAATTCTCATTCTTCCTCTCTTTCTTTCTTTCTTTTCAATTCGTCGTCGATTTCATCATTATTGTCAATTCGTTTTATTTTTTTCTCCCCAACACCAACGCTCTCTCACACAAACAGTCAGCTCATCGTTTACAATCAGAAAGAACCATTCCCTCGGTTCGTTCTCCCTAACCCTATAAATACTCGGCAGATGCCGCGAACCGTCTTCTCCTCTTATCATTTCATGTAACCCAACCACTCAACCAACAATATTCCTTCTTCTACACCTCCACCTCCAAACTTCAGCTAGCCATGGGGGACGAGTACAGCAGCAGCATAAACTGGTGGGACCCTTCCCGTACTACCAGCAGGTTCGACAGCAGCGGAGCAGCAGCAGCGTCGTCCACCACCACCGTCGGCGGCGGTGGATGCTTTAGCTCCGCCGCGGATACTTCCGGTTCTGGTGCGGACGAGCAGCTGCACATGATGGGGCTGGGCCTGTCCTCGCAGGCGATGGAATGGAACCACGCGCTGCTGTAAAATAAAAATAACTTCCTCTTATTCATCACGAGATTGTCCATTCGATCGATCGATCTCAAAGTTATCAACGAAAGCTAACGAAGTTGTTTTACTTTTTGGCAGGAGGGGGGAGAATAACAAGGAGCACGACCAGCAGAGCAGCAGCTTCCGGTCAATGCTACAGGAAGACCTCACTTACGGCCACCACCAGCCGACCAGCGGCGGCGGCGGAGGGGGAGGAGGAGGAATGGGGCTGTGGAGGGAGCGGCCGACGACGACGACGTCGTCGTCGTCGGTGTACACCTCAGAAGCCGCCGCCTCGTCCATGAGAGGATTCTCCCTGGAGCAGCAGCCGCCGCTGCACGACTTCTGTGGCGGCGGCGGGGGAGGCGCGGGGGTTATGTTTCAAGCGGCGGCGGGTTCGTTCGACAGCAGGTTGATGGGCGGATACCCGACGGCGTCGTACGGTGGCGGTACTGCTGCTAATACGGCGGATTTTGGGATTGTTGGGAACGACTCGAGTTGGTCTAGTGGTGGGAATAAGACGGTGCCTCAATTTCTGAGGAATAACAACTCGCCGCCCAAGCAGCAGCAGCTGCACTTCTCTAACAACGCTCCGTTTTGGAACGCGTCGTCGGCGGGGATGGGTGGCGAGGTCCGGGCGCCGTCGGGCGGCGGCGGGTTCTTCCCGGCCTTGCACCACCAACAACAACACCACCAGCAGCAGCAGCAACATCAGTTTCCTGCTGCGTCGAGTTTTGATGACAAGCCAAAGGTTTGCTTAATCTTAATATATGTGTAGTTATTTTTGGATTAATTATTGCATAGAGGTGATTAAGATGTTCCGTTGCATCCTGGATTAAAAAAAAATGCAGAATAATATGGCTGGTGAGGAAGGGAATTCAAGGTCAGTGGTGGTGAAGAAAAGTGAGGGTGGAGGAGGAACTGCCACTAAAAGGCCCAGGAATGAAACAGCAGCATCCACTTTGCCAGCCTTTAAGGTACACTACTACACTACTTGCAAATTGCAATTAGGCCAATTGGGATCAATTTTTAAAATTCCTTATCTCTCTTAGGGATATAAATTAAAATCCCCTCCTCTCATTTCTAAATTATACACGGGAAATTTTGTAATCTGCAATTGAACAATTTATGGTGTCACTCGTAACGTTGTGAGACTATTTGCAGTGTAGCCTTTCTGCATCAGATTTGAACAAAATATTGCGCATACGCTACTTCGAAATTTCAATAGCTTTTGTAAGCGGAGTAAAAAAAACCGAGTCTGATGCTCCAGAATACTGACTCTACCTAATTAATAAATCGGATTAGCTGCTGTGTTAGAGGGGGGCTACTTAGCTATATGTACATGATCCATAGTTGCTTCTTTGTGCCCATCTCTAATTTGATGGATTTTACAATTTTTCATAGTTTACAATCATCATAATCATCAACACTAATTTTAATATTAGTAAATGTGGTGGTCTTTGTTGTATATATGTAGGTGAGGAAAGAGAAGATGGGGGACAGAATCACTGCACTTCAACAATTGGTTTCACCTTTTGGAAAGGTATTACACATATATATGAAATAACTAGCAAGCAAGCAAGCAAGCTGCCCCTTGGAAGATAAAAAAGAAATGTATATATAATGTCTCCATGGGTTATGATGAAAAACTGAGAAAATCTCAGAACTGGATACTTTGTCTAATGATGGTTCATTATCAATTAATCATCTTTTTTGTGCTTTGCTAGCTTGAGACATCTAAATTATAGACCCTAATCATGGATTCTTGTTCTTGTTTTAATTTTCACAAAAAATGAATATGGAAGACTGATACAGCCTCAGTGCTCTCAGAAGCAATTGAATACATTAAATTCCTCCATGATCAAATCAGTGTAAGCTCATCATCTCTCATTTTTTTTCTTCTTCCTTTCATTAATTCCCCAATAATAAAACAATTAATTAGCTCATCAAAATTGATGTTTTAATTTATGGCCAGGTGCTGAGCACTCCATACATGAAAAGTGGAGCTCCCATAATTCACCCTCACCACCAGCAGGACAAGAAGCCAAAGGACAAAGCTGCAGAAGCTCAGAATAAGGATCTGAGGAGCCGAGGGCTGTGCCTGGTGCCTGTTTCCAGCACTTTTCCGGTCACCCACGAGACCACCGTCGATTTTTGGACGCCGACATTTGGTGGAACATTCCGATGATTAGTTAATCATTTCATTATAGTTTTTTTTTTTTACTTACTACATATATACACACAGACGATTTCCAGCAAGATTCCGACGAGGGAGGGAGATGGGAAGAAGAATTTAGAATGTGGAATTAGATAACAAACAGAAGATGGCCAAAAAAAAAAAAAAAAGCTCACTCACGTCGACGTACTAGAGAGCCCACACATCAGTACTCAAGTTTCTCTTTTTTTTTTTTGGGGTTGGGAATGAAATCATGATCAGGATTGGGAAAGACAACGACTGTTCATCATGTGGCCGACTAGCTAGCTGCTGATAGATGCCTTGAGAAGACGAACAAAGGAGGAGTATTCTGTATTCATCATCAAGCTGCTTGCTTGATCGCTAGCAAGTTGGGTTCTTATTGGCCGAGAATTTGTAATTGGGGCCATTTTTATGACTACTACTTTTAGCTCTGTAATGTAACAATTAATCGGTAGCTAGGAATCAGAATATATATGTATAGCTAGTGATGATTGGTTGTATTTGCTTTCTCTTGTTAGTTGTTGTTTACCTAGTTTTTATGGTTGATCGAGATTCGAGAAAGATAATGATAAGTTAAACAAGTACGTACACGTCTATAACGCTCATTCAATTTTTGCGTATGCATGTAATGGGTTATTGTTGGTTTTTTTAAAAAAAAAATTGGGAGCAATGACGTTTTTGTTAGGGGTGAACAAACACACCCGCAAACCGACCCATCCGTCCAACCCGACCCAGCCCATCCGTATTTATCGCTAAAACTAAGGTTTTGGGTTGGGCGAGGGTTTTCTTTCGTACAACCCGCCTCTTTTGGGTTGGGTTTGGATTTTGGATTACGCAACCCGTCGAACCCGACCCAACCCGTGTTCCAACTATTAGTATGAGTTCGTGCACAAAAAATATTTATGTCGTATATAGCCATACTTATAAGAAAATTAAGATATTTTGCCATGTTTTTCTCCCATGATCTCCCTAAGCTAATGCATTCATTGACTTAAAATTTAGACATAGATTTAATATAGCTACGATTCACGTAATCTTTTTTCTTGTGTACAATTTTAATAGAATAACATATTATGGATGCGTTTGTTTATAACCTATTTAGCCTATTTAAACAAATATTGTGAAAAAAACTAGACTTATGTTAAAGTAAATTATATTTTATTAAAATTCAAACAACATTTGTGAATTTCGATATCTTTCACCTCAGTTTATTCGTTTGAGATTTTAATTAGTTATAAAAATATTTTTTATGGTGTAGAATAATTACATATTTTGTGTTGGGTTGGGTTTTTACTTAAAAATATCGCCAACCCGACCCAACCCAATTGAAAACAAACCGTAGGGTTTTAATTTTTTTTTGTTGGGTTTGAATTTAATATTTTCCAAACCGTAGTGCATGGGTCGGGTGATTAAAATGACTAAACCCGGACCATCCGACCCATGTACACCTCTAGTGTTTGTGACTATTAATACCGAAGTAATGATCCGTATAAGATCCTACATCGTCCAAAATTTGTCGATTTTTTTGTTAAGTTGGTTGGATGACCTATTTCTACATTGTGTTCGCCTAGCTTCGATGGCTCAAACAGATTAGGGATTCGGGATTTTCGGTTGGTTACTTGCTTGATAGATAGTGTGCTAGCTAGTAGTGTAACGTAATGTTGGTGACCTAATGAATTTGTTAGGTGATAGAGAGAGGCAGCAAAGCTTTTTGTTGAAGGAGAGGGGAAAGGTTTAACTAGATGAAGACGGAAATAAGGGAAAAGGAGAGGAATGAAAGGGAATAATTGAATTCCAGAATAAGTGATTGGAAATCTCACTTTTGATTGTTTATGTGTTTGGAATATTGGTAGTGGAACTCAGAGGGTACCCCACAATTTTATTAAGTTTCTTTTTGTTTTTTTTTTCCATGAGGATTATTATTAATTTGCGTAACTCTGTAATACCGGTTTAATTTCAAGGTAATATTACGTACATATATTAAATGTTTAACAAAGAATTTGTAAATTTTAACTCATAGCTTGCAAACATTACAAATAAATGTTTACAAATTATTAGATCGACCTAAGACCCATAACTTGAGCTCTGATGCATAAACCACTTTTATAACGGTGGTGCAATCGTAGTTTGATGTTCTATACAACGACGATACAATATCATACAACTATGAAATTCTATAGGACTTTGTAGGGTTTGCACCTCCATGAATATGTCCATCGTTTTGTTATTGGTTCTTGTTTTCTTTGTTTTCATTGATTGTCGACACTGATATTCAAATCGAGAATATGTTGGATGTTCCCATCGATCCCGCATTACCACCCGGCCAATCCTTGAAATTGTTTGGTTCTGGTTTTTCTATAGGAAGTTTAGGTTTATTTTTGGCCATGTTTAACATATAATTCGAGGGAAATTAAATCATAATAAGATAATACTCACAATGATCATTTTTCAGTGGTTTATCTTATCGACCTTAGTATAGAAATTTAGGTTGTCTGGATGACACGGTATATTGACATGATGTGTGATGTGTCTCCAAATGTATGGCGTATATATTTGCAAAATAATATGATTTTGTTTATTTATATGTACGATTGTGATACATTATTTTATAGGTTATGTATTGAGTAATTATATTGGTGTGCACGCTTTGTGGGGTAGATCTAATGGTCACTTTGTGAAGCTCCCATTGGTAGGTGAGAGTTGCCAAGTTGGAGTGCTTCTTCCACTAGCAACAGAAAGAAAGAGAGGGCTGACTCTATGTGAGGTCATTTGTGGATCATACATCCTTTTTAGTAATGTTATGACTTGATTAATTTGACTCATACTCTCCATTATTGGGTGGACTTGCAAGTCATCACATGTCAACCCCTAAACGTTTTTATTTTTTTTTTATGGGATAGGTATGATCAAATGTGAGCTAAGATTAGGGTTAGCTCAAAGTAAAAAGTTATTTGAAGTCTGACATGGATAGTTTTGATCTATCGTTATGTCATTGTATGTATTTTGCGCAGCTTGTAATGATCGCGGTCTCGTTTTCCTTCCTAATAAGTTGACCGATTTCAACTGAAATGTTAACACGATAGAAATTTTTGATTGTAGTCTATGGGGCAAGGTTGTCAAACCGGTTTATACCGTTGTGCCGGTTTGACAAGTGGAATGGTACGACCGGTGGTAGAACCAGTTTGTGCCGGTTCATGCCGGTTTAAAAAAATGTGAAAACAATTAATATCCAATGTATTTAATTATATATAAAACATATTTATGGACAATTTAGTTAGAATCCAACAAATATCATCAACTTTTAACTATTAAATTCATAAAATGAATAATATATAACTTTTTTTATTGATTAAATTCATTAAAGTGATGTCATTTTGCTTAGAATGCACAAGTCGGTCATACCGGTCATACCGGTGGTGTCATGCCGGTTTCATTACCGGCACAGGTTGAACTAGGTTCAACCGGGTGGCATGCCACCGGCATGACAACCATGCTATGGGGTGAGCCCCTTCTCACGCGCGAGACACAACTTTCTTTTGGAGAAAAGTGATTGATCAGAACCTAATATGTTTGTGGATTTGAATTGAGTTGTTGAAGTGTTGAAAGCTCCCACCTTTGCAAATTCGCAACATGCCATAAGCCCAGCGCAACAGAAATATGAATTTTCGCGACGGATTTATCGTGTTCGGCTCCAACCCCAACTTTTTGCAACAACATGTGAGATTCCCGTCGCCAAAGGTCTCAATTTTTTTTGTTCTCTCCAAACACATGAAGCTTCTTTTTTTTTTTTTTGGTTTATTGATACTCTGGATTCTAGTTTAGTTGATTGGCTGATATATTCTCGAAAATTTGATACCTCTAAGTCTAGATCAGTCAACAATATAGATCGAATCACTCTTTTACGTTGTCTTTTCAGAGAAACAATATCGAAAAAGTATGAAGAAAAAAATAAATTATAATGCATAGTAAAGGAATCCAAGAGATAGGAATTATCATTGCTAGGCCTACCTAGCTATAGCTCTTGCAGGTAGTTATATAATATACTCTTTCGACTACATTATTTTACTTTAGCAAAGGAACAACATTCATTTGTTCAGGAGATGTATAGAACTTCATTGTTCACCTGTTCTTAAATACACTTTCGAGCACCACCCACCTGCAAAGTTCAGTCCTCTTGTCACGAAATGGAAATCCCCTTTTTTTTTCTTGCCCAAGTTCTTCTAATAACTTCTCTTCGCCTGCAGTGGGAAGAAATGAAGAGGAAAGTCTGGTATGGGAAAGATTCTATCACAATCTCCATGTGCTTCCCTCTTCCTCTCTCTGCAGGGCTCTTTCCTGAAACCAACCCTGATTCCTTTCTCGAATCAGTCACAGGAAACTTTGCAGCAGAGGAAAGGATGGCATTCACTCTAACCCTAATTACCCACAAACAACTAACCCATGTTTTCGTCTAGTCTTGTTTGGGTATATATAATTTTTGTAAGAAAGTAGTCGTATAAGATCCATAATAACCTCCTGTCAACAATTTGAGTTATTGAGATCATTTGGTTATAACATGATATATGAGCTAGTTTGTATTTGACGTAAACGTGTTCAAGTACTCACGAGTCACGACCCCAATATTAACCGTTGTCGATGAAGCACATGGTATGGTATACGATTCATAATAACCTTCTTATAACAACTCGATTTATCGATACCAATTGGTTTATAGCATGATACAGATTGTCATGTGTTTGAATCTTCGCAACTCTCAATATTAACCCGGAGGAAGCCCGCCATTGCATAATGATTAGCTGATTGATCGATTCATCATTGATGATTTTGGAGATAATCAAATATAAAAGAACAACAGGGGGAAATGGGAATGCACAAATTCCATTGCTTTAAATTAGGAAATAATTATTGAATGGGCGAGAAAAGAAAAGCAAGGAATATAGTCATAACAACAACTACCATATCCCTTTTCCAAAAGGCTCCTTTTCCTTTCCTTTCCTCTCCTCTCCTCTACCTTTCCATTTTCAATGAGAAAAAAAATAAGAATATTAGTACTGTAGTAATTTCTAAAGTGAAATCTCTTTTATTAGGAAAAAAAGCATTTTTAATTTGCTACCCAGATGCTGGAGGAACATTGTTAATCAATCTGCCTCCAATTAAAGTTAATATTCTATGTGCCCCATTTTGATTAAAGCTAACATATATACTCTTTAGTACTATGTATGATCATGAAGGACAGTACTGGAATCTTGATATTATATGGAATGGGAAGCTGAAAATGATTGTTCCCTGACACCCACAAGATTTGGATTATCTGGTTTTCCCTCCTGGGCAGGCACAGGAGTCAGTGGTCAGTCAGGGTGGTAGTTCTGATCTCTGATGAACAACAAAAAAAAGCGAAAGAGAAACAAGGACTTGATATAGCGGTACTATCTCGCTGATTTAATACGAACCGATGAAAGTGAAAGAGTAACTACCAAGAGAGACACGGACTGAGCAGACTGCATACCCTTTCAGTAACACATAGCTTTCGATACATAGAAACTTCCATGAAGAAAGTAGGGTTACAGAACCAAGCTAAAAGAAAGCCACCTCTTCCTTATCATTTACACAGATCGACCATGGTTGCTTAGTAAAGACATACAGAGACCTCGAATAGCCTCCGACTAGCATTGCTTTCTTTTGGCGGGAGCGAAAATTATATACCGAAGAATGAGAGCGAGACTCCTGTACTGTATTAAACCCGATTGGATGATTTAGGCCGCACCCTTGAGCTTCTTTGTGATTGCGGCAATGTACTTCCCCTGGTGGAAGGCCTGCTCCAGCTCGAGCTCCGATGGCTGCCTCGATCCGTCGCCTGCAAAAGTTCCGGCTCCGTAAGGACTGCCGCCTTTCACCTTCTCCATCTCGAACATGCCGGCACCAAATGTGTAGCCGATGGGGACGAATATCATTCCGTGGTGAACAAGCTGAGTGATTGCAGTCAATCTGTTGGTGGGGCAGTCCCGTAATTCAGGTCAACTAGAGGAGTTTAGTGTCCAGCTAATGATGGAATCACCAATTTGTGAATCTGGTTTCGATAAGGAAAGAAAATGGGGACTTACGGCGTGGTTTCTTGGCCGCCACCTTGAGAACCAGTGCTGTAGAATATGCCAGCAGGCTTGCCAGCCAGCTGCTGTGTCCTCCAAAGAGATCCAGTTGCGTCCATAAATGCTTTGAATTGGGCAGACATCATTCCGAATCGGGTTGGGAAGCCAAACACGAATCCATCAGCATCAGGGAGCTCGCTTGGTGTGATGTATGGTACATCACTCTTTGTTGGTGCACTCATCTTTGTCAGGACCTCTTCTGGCAGAGTCTCGGGAACCTTTACAGGGATCAATGGAGAGGTAACATCAGGATCAACCTCTGAATTCAACTTTTACTCTCAAAATAGACCTTCGATATTAATAAAGACTGCTACAAATGTTTTAATCTTGCATTGTAGCATTTAATGGTACATATTTTGGCAACCAAGAGTTGCTTAGTGAAAGCTTATGCAGTAATGAGCAAAAATCAGATTATGAAGAAAAGCCAGTGTCTTTTCGGCTGACAAACAAAAGAAGGGAGCATTCCAGCATAGTAAATCACTAACCAGACAACAATCTCCTTCATTTTTATGTTAAAATCAGGATGCTAAAGGAACAGGTTAGAATGCCACAATCATGGTGCTTTAACATATCAGAATTAGGCAGCCAATAGGCAGAATTGAATCCAAAGGTAACAATAATGTGATTTGGCAGCAGAGTTTGAGGACAGACTTTGAAACCATTGAAAAGATATCAATAGCTTGTTTGGCCAAAACTCAAGGAAAAAGCAATCAATAACAAATTGGAGAGCAATTCAAGCGACAAAATCGAATAGAATGGGCAAGCTGATTAAGGCACTACAGCTGCTGCACATTGTAATGGGGGCAATATAGATATTTTGCTATCAGCAACTAGCCAATTTTCAAAAGACAAAATACATATCTAACAACATGAAGTTGAATATGAATATTCCAATCCAACTATGATATTCAACCATAAAGACCAGTACCTGCCATAATTTGGCTTCAACACCTTCAACAGATGCAGCTCCTTCCTTTATTTTCTCTGCAAGTTTCTCCACATGCCCATACATAGAATAGTATCTGTGGAGTGATGAGAGGTTTTGAGAAAGAGTAGTGATAATTGACTTGGATGACTAATAATAACGGAAGCAAACTGGACATAAGTCATAACAAAACTTGAAACTGCATACACCACAAGAACTAACACATTCATAAAGAAAGATAGATGATATATCAAGGAGATATGGTTATTCTAGACTGTTTCATAATTTGTATTTTTAATAAAACTTGGCCTGATATCACTGTTGAAACTAAGAGGCCCATACATGGGATTTATTTGCAATTCATGGACCATCAGGATATGTAATCCATTTCACAAAGATCCATTAGATGTTCAAATTGCAATATAAAGAGCTTCCCGATGTCCTTCCAATCAAGGACATGCATATTCTCAAATAACCCCCTTTCCGTAACAAACAAGTTAGCCTCTTGGACAAGACCTGCAGAATTAATTACAGTTCTAAAGCAGATAAAAACTGGACACAATTAACGCACATCAAAATGCAATTTGATGTATGATGCACAAACTTCTTGTTTTCTATTCATATATGCGACATAAACCCAGGTGTAAAGAATTAATTATGCCCCGCACTGCTCAAGGACGTTGTCACTTGTATTTGCAGTTCTCTAGTTTTTTCCACAAAAAGGAAGCTCCTCATCTGCTAATCTAAAACATAAGATTTAAGTGGCAGAGGAATGCTGTGTTTTATAAGAAAATATCACAAACACTTTTTTTCATTACCCGTGAAGGATCCATGTAGATATTTGCACAAAACTATGTTGGAACCTAAGCGAAACTTATCAACACATTACTATGTATCTTGCCCTACCATACCGATACTGAAATCTTAAAGGGGCCTTAACCAGGCGACATAGAAGTTATGCTTACAATTAGAAAAGGTATAAATAGGATGAATATAATAGCCTAGAATGGGAAAACGAAAACAATCTGAGGGAAATTCCAGCAGAAGCTCACAAAGATAAGACCCTCAGCAGAAGAATATGAACTCATGCAGTTTAGGTGTATGCTATACCTAGCGCATCTACCAAGCGAACATAGAGATAGTTTAACTATGTGAATTGAACATCTGGGTGGCTTATAATCTGTATTTCTTCTGTAGACGCACAGCACAATAATGAAGGGAGAAGACAACGTTCTAAAGAAATTTTGACCAGGAGACTGGAAAAATTAGGTAATAGTTGCCCTGTCTCCAACTTGCAAAGACTACATTTTGAATTTCATCCATCAGACACTGGCATCAAAATTAGAAAAACTATTATGTTCTCCCTAATCTCAACCGCCTGCATGTGCTGTTCGCTGTAATGACTTGATCTATATTATCGTTATTACACAGCTCCAATTGACCCTAGTCCTAATTACCCACCAAGGATCTAACCAAATATCCGAACTATTAGCTTGTACAAACAGCACACCAGAAACCCAAATCAAAGTAAAACAATAGGCTAAATGCTGAAAACTCTTCGCACAATCTCACAAACAAGTTTCAATTATGAGTGCTCAGCAGTTGACAAGATCGGCAATCATTTCCCCAGCTCCTTCAAATTTTAGAGACAAACTTCACAGCAGCCAAAGAGACACCGCAAGAAAAACTCACAGAGCAAAAGCATAGATCATGCACAGTTGGCTTCCCACAACCACGCATCAGAGCATAAATGAGGGAAACGAAATTGACATCCGTTCCAACAATTACTTCGCAACTGCCAACTGCATACCGACTGGAAGCACCGCAGAAGCGGATTCCCGAAGGATTCTCAAGTTTCAACCACTACAATCATACTCTAGATTAATAGACATCGAGAGAGAGAGAGAGAGAGAGAGAGAGTAACGTACATGATGTACACTTTGGTGGCCATGGAAGTCGATCGAGTGGGAGCGAAGCTGTGAGTTGCCTTTTCCTATCTACAGTCGGGAGCTTGAGGTGCTGAGGCCGCTGAGCTAGTCTTTTTCGTCAAAATATTAAACAATTACTTATTTGACTCGTTAAGAAAGTTATCGGCTTGGAAATGAGTATGGATGGCAACAAAACCCGAATTAGTATTTTACTCGATTCAATCTGGTCAATATGAGTAAAATTTGTGTCCACGGATTTCAGATTGGGTTTGAGTTTAAATCCGTACACTATTTATCGGGTTATATTGGGTTTGGGTTTAGGGGTATCCGACCAATGGATACCTGCTCAACTTATTTCGTTGTCCTACTCTCCCCAAACCCTACCCTAATTCTAATTTTTTCCAATCTAACTCTCACTACACTTATTCCGTGTGATTTTATTTAGTGTAATTGTGATATTTTGAATTTTTTAGAATAGTGTTATATGTATGAATAATTTGTATGGGAAAATTGATGTTTAAATTTTATTTTGATATGAACTTGTCATTGTAAATTTTTTAGCACAAAAACCCATGGGTACCCCATGAACCCGTAGATACTCAGCGGGTTGGGTTTGAATTTTTCAAACCCAGTTGGTTTTATCCCCTTTTTTTTACGGATAAACCCATGAATTTTGCAAAACCCGACCCAACCCGACCCATTGTCATCCCTAGAAATGACTGATCATGTCAATCCAATGTTTAGGGTATATATCAGTTTAGTTATAGTATGTAGGAAAAGTGTGAATTAGTAACGCTAATGATGGAGCACTTCTACTATACTTTAAAGTATTTGTGCTTTAAAGTACAACTTGAAATTGTACCACAACGTTAAAAATACAAATTAAAATTGTACCATAAGAAATTTGAACATTTATGTTCTTGTACAATTTCAGGTCGTACCATAAGTAGATTTATACAAATGAGTATCGGTACAACATCGAGTTGTACTATGACGTTAAAGATACAACTTCAAATTGTAACCATAAAGACAAAAACTAGAACAACAATGCTTTAAAATATTGTAAAATTCCTCCCCCCTATAATTTATATTTTTATTTTTGTAAATTACAATTCATCATATTTAAATACACAATTTTTGTTGTATTTTCTTTTGAGATCAGAAATTGGTCATACCAATTGGACAAATGATAATTTTCGGGTTAAAGACACATTTGGTCACTGAGATTACTAAATCGGGACATGTTTAGTCACTAGAAAAAGTTAATATCAAATTTGGTCACTATAATTACTAAAACAGGACACATTTAGTCACTCGTCGTCGTCGTTAGTTGCCGTCCAACTCCGTTAACAGAGTCCATTATGTGCTGACGTGGCTAACGTGATCGCCTAGTCAGCGCCGTTTTGGGCCAGAAATGGTCAAACCCGACCCGCCACGTCACTAAACCAGCCACGTCAGACATCCAACCCACACCATTAACCCAACCTGACCCAGAAATAAACCCTAACCCACTTGAAAATAAACTGATCAGTTTCCATTTGCAGACCCGGAAACCCTTCTCCTTCCTCCCGGAGGCGATCACGGAAGAGAGGGACCAATTGACCTTGAAATAGAGGAGAACGGCGAGCAGGACGACGGAGTAGACGACGGCGAGAGCGAGGAAGTAGGGAGAATCGGCGTCGATCTCGAGGCACGCCAAGTCCAAACCCTTGATTACGAAGTAGAATGAGCAGAGGAAGAGAAGCGCCACCAGGGAGAGGAGGAGCTTGACGACGATGTGGGTGACGAACAGCCAATCAGCGGAGAGGGGAGTGGAATCGGAGCGGCGAGTCGAGCTGGGCGTGGTGCGAGTCTGAGTTGGAGGAGGAGGAGCGCTTCATGTTCCTAGTGTTGAGGAAGTCGACTCGAGGCTTCGATTTTGAAGGTCTCGAATCCATGACTAGGTTTCTAACTCGCTCTCGAAAAGAAGAAGAAGAAGGGGGAATGTGAATTGAATGAAGAGGAGAGAAAGCGCCGAAGGAAGGGGCTGTTTGGCGAGCGAGAAAATGTGGGAGGAGGAAAAGGACGGATAAGACTAGGAAGTGGCGGGAGTGGGCATTGATAATGAGCTTCGATTCAGATAGGACGATGGAGAAGTCCAGCGGCGGCGGCGGCGGTTGGGCTGACATGGCGGTGGACGATGGGGGCGATCGTGGAGTGGGGATTGGATGACAGAGGAAGGAGAAGGGTTTCTGGGTCTGCAAATGGAACTGATCAGCTTTTTTTAAGTGGGTTAGGGTTTATTTATGGGCCGGGTTGGGTTAATGGTGTGGGTTAGATGTTTGATGTGGCGGGTTTAGTGACGTGGCGGGTCGGGTTTGACCATTTTCGACCTAAAACGGCGCTGACTAGGCGCTCAAGTTAGCCACGTCAGCACATAACGGACTTTGTTAATGGAGTTGGACGGCAACTAACGGCGAGTGACTAAATGTGTCCTGTTTTAGTAATTATAGTCATCAAATTTGATATTAACTTTTTCTAATGACTAAACATGTCCCGATTTAATAATCTCCGTGACCAAATGTGTCTTTAACCTGATAATTTTCAGTATTGATTACCACTCCATGCCAAGGATGTTTCAGCCAATTTGTATCAAATTCCGATCTACATGACAGTATGGATATTAGATGTATGGTGATGACTGAGGTGATCGTATTATGAGCTGCAAACAGAGGAAACAGACAACCATCCGAACTGTGTGTTTTGTCTGCGTGTGGAAGGGGATAATTTTCTTTTATTTTCCCACAGATTCGGGAATATCCTCTATCAGATTTGAGCCGAGTATAAAATTGGTGCTACGACACTAGAAGTTACAAACCCTATGCCCAAGTTAGGGAAGATGAAGACAAGACAAAATCATATAAGTTGGCGAATAAATTCATCAAGTGAGAGCAATAATTAGTACTAGAATAATTAGTCCCCTTGCGTCAGAAATTATATCAGAATCACATGTATGACGTAGCGCCGGTGAGTATAATAGTTTAGCAAAACAATTTGGTTTACTACGCGTATGGCGCGGTTGTATACATTACTATTTGTATACTGCTCGTCTCACTTTTTCTTCTTCTTTTATGTTTCACGTACAAAATAGTATAACTCGTACTTTGAGGAATGTATTGTAAATATAAGATGATATGTACAATTTTTGTGTTAAGACTTAAGACCTTAGCATATCTGTACATAATTTTACTAACTAGCACGAGTATTGGTAGTCCTCACTAATTCGGTTAGCTAAACCAAAAAGTGTTATGAACGAGTACTCGCTTCTCTTTTCATGTACGGTGAATAGAGGTGGCAAATGGATTGATCCATGGATTGGTGTATTGGATTGGGTCAAGTGGATTGGTGGATTATCCATGAATCCAAATGTCATCCTCAACCAAGGACCAATATGTAAAATGTGAAAAGTAGGTACTAAAATGTCATAATGAAAAATTTAGGTACCAAAACGTAATTTTCCAATGATATTTTTTGTATAAAAAATAAATTTTGGGTACCAAAATGTAAAATGTAAAAAGTATAGGTACCAAACCGTAATTTTTCATTTGGATCCATGGATCAATCCATGAGTCCACCAATCCAATTGGATTTGGATAAAATGGATTGGATTTAAATGGATTGGATTAAGTAGATATTTTTAAAGGGTTGGTGGATTGGATTGAGAATTGTCACCCCTAACGGTGAATGATTGAGTTTTAACTAGTCAACATAAGACTACTATAAGTAGGATCCATAGTACCACTAGGATTCCTAAACCAATTAGGAAAACTCGTCATTTTGGTCTAACTAGGATACCTGTTATGGGACAATCCAAGTGTCACATCGGTAATATAAGGGAAGGAACCCTTGTATATCAGTGTCCACCTAGCCCAATTAGTACGAGGCCTTTTGGGGAGGACATCCAAAAATAAATCCGTGCGGACTTTGCACAAAAAGGACAATATCGTACTAATTGAGCATCCCCGGTTATGAATCCAATAACTCATACTTCAAATACGTGTATTTACATTCATTTAATAAAATATATAAAAAAATAGTATAAAATACATACTCACACGTCACACCACTCTCCACAATTCCAATGATCGCATTTACATCATTTCCGTTTTATAAATTCATTTACACATCTATCAAGCCATTAAGAAACAAGTGGAAATTTGTCGTTTGACACTCATCTTAATCACATGCATGAGCATGACTACTTAATTAATTTATCTTCTGTCAAATAATAGAAAGAAAAAAACATACTTCATCACTTGTTAAAAGGAAGCCACCTTTTCGTTCCTATAGAAAGCCACAGGCAGGGAAGCTAATCTATCTATCTATATATAGCTACATCCGATCAGATCGAGTATTCTGTCTGCCCTTGCGCTACCTGTGTCCCATTTCCACTGCCTTGCTCGTTGAATATTATACACTTGTCGCCGGCGGCGGACCGAACAAAACGATGAGGGTGGATGAAATCCGCAAGCTGCAACGGGCCGAGGGCCCTGCCACCGTACTCGCCATCGGCACCGCCACTCCTCCCAACTGCTACCACCAGAGCTCTTTCCCTGACTTCTACTTTCGCGCCACCAACTCCGACACCGATCTCAAAGCCAAATTCCAGCGCATCTGTAAGACCTCTCTCTCTCTCTCTCTCGAAATTTTTACACTCACACGTAATCTGCGGTAGAGCCACGTGTAGTTAACGGAGACTATCGATTATCCTCCTTCAAAATTTAGGTTCAATCGTAAAAAATTGTTGCAGTTTGTTATTTTCAGTCCCTCGTCGCGCGCTTTATGATATGCACACATAATCTATCTCCTTATTCCTTCAAGTTTGATCCTTGCAGGTGAAAAGTCAAAGATCAGGAAGCGTTACCTGCACGTAACCGAAGAGCTTCTCCAGGAAAACCCTAACATGGGCTCTTACTCGGCACCGTCACTGGACGCCCGCCAAGAAATGATGACCGTGGAGGTCCCGAAACTGGGCAAAGAAGCCGCCACCAGGGCCATCAAGGAATGGGCCCAGCCCAAGTCCAAACTCACCCACCTCATCTTCTCCACCAGCACCGGCGGCCACATGCCAGGGGCCGACTACCAGCTCGCCAAACTCATGGACCTAAGCCCATCCATCAACCGGCTCATGATCTACCAACAAGGCTGCTTCGGCGGCGGCACGGGCCTCCGCATCGCAAAAGACCTTGCCGAGAACAACAGAGGCGCCAGAGTCCTCGTCGTTTGGTCGGAGATCACCACCATAGGCTTCCGCGGGCCGCCGCCTGATTCCGACTCCGACATATCCATCTTAGTCGGTCACGCTCTGTTCGCCGACGGCGCGGCGGCGGTAGTTGTCGGCTCCGATCCGATTCCCCGAGTCGAGAAAGGGTTGTTCGAACTCGTCCATACGACTCAGACTACAATCCCCGATTCCGAGGGAGCTATTGAAGGGTTTACTCGTGAAGCAGGTCTGGTTTATCACTTGTCGAAGAGGCTGCCGGAGCTGATTTCGGAGAACATTGAGAAGTGTCTGGTTGAGGCGTTCCGGCCGTTGGGGATTTCTGATTGGAACTCGATTTTTTGGGCTGTACATCCCGGTGGGCCCAAAATTCTGGATAGGGTTGAGGAACGGTTGGGCCTTGAGCCCGAAAAGCTGCGGCCCACGAGGCATGTGTTGGCCGAATACGGTAACATGTGGAGCGGGAGCGTGGTGTTTGTGCTGGATGAGATTCGGAGAAGGTCCGTGAAGAATGGGTCCAGGACGGTCGGAGATGGGCTGGATTGCGGGGTGCTTCTTGGGTTTGGGCCTGGGCTTACTGTGGAGACTGTAGTTCTACGTGCCCTGATTTAGGCTGGAGTCGTTTGACTTTTTCATGCTTCATTTTAAGGTTGATGTGCTTGCCTGAGCTGGGGGAAAGTGTTTGTATGGTCTTTGTTCATTTGTTAAAAGGTTCAGTCTCTTTGTCCAATAAATGTTTTGGTGTAAGTAAGGTGTTTGTACTTAAGGGTTAAATATTTGCACGATCAAGAAAAGCATAATTGAAAGGAGTCATTGAACAGTTAGAAACTGTCTGTCATGCAACTTGTGAATCAAGGTCAACCTTCACATGGACTCCAAAATAAGAGCTGCCATAGAAGACAGATCCTCCATCCAAAACACCAGACATCAGCATCGTTGACCTCATTAAATTGTTGCAAAGTCTCTGTCTAAGGTCAAGGCCGTCCCGATGCGAAGGAAACCTTTCAACTTCAAACCCCACCTTAACCTTCAGCCGCCATGCTCTCATGGAGATTAGAAAACATCAAACAAACAGGGAGTCAATGGAAGTAAGAAAATAAGCCATGGGAGAAGAACTCGCTTGAGTCATCTTCAAGCTGCAGTAACTCTGCAACAAGTTGAATAATATCACCCCCCATCCTCATCTACCCTTTGAGCATTTCTTCATCCCGCATTCAATGGCGACACCAGAAAAGGAATATGTCTTCAAATTATTCAGCGGACGGTTGGGGGAACAGCCAACGATATGTTACTAATAAAACATCTGCTGGCTGAGCCCTCGAATCTAAATCCATCTATCTATTCAATCTCAATCTCATTCCCGTTCTTTAACAAAGAAAAGCTCGCCAGACAATCATCCATGGCGTTAATCAACGCAATCGCAGCTCTGCTCTGCTGTCTCTGTTTTCCCCTGTTTTCTGCCACCACCGACACCATAACCCCAGCTCTTCCCCTCCGCGACGGCGACACCATCTCATCCCCCGACGGAACCTATGAGATGGGATTCTTCAGCCCGGGGAGCTCCAAAAACCGGTACTTGGGGATTTGGTACAAGGAAATCCCTGTTTTCACAGTTGTTTGGGTAGCCAACCGCGAGAAACCCATCACCCCTGACTCCTCCTCCCCTGCATCCTCATCATCATCATCATTTTCAGGACTTCTTCACCTAACCAACGACGGAACTCTCGTCATTCGTCTCAATTCCACAAATTCCACCGCAATTTGGACATCAACGACCACAGCAGGTTCGCCACCGGTCAGCAGTAGTACTAATCCGGTCGCTCAGCTTCTGAATTCAGGAAACCTGATAGTCAAAAGAAACGATGACATGGAACATGAAAATCCACTCTGGCAGAGCTTTGACTACCCAGGGGACGCGTTCCTCGCCGGAATGAAACTCGGGAGAGACCTTGTCACGGGTCTGAACCGGCCGATGACGTCGTGGAAATCCCCCGACGACCCATCACAGGGAAATTACAGCTACGGGGCGGAACTCGGCGGATACCCTGAACTCGTGCAGAGAGAAAATTCAATGGAGCGGTTCAGGACAGGGCCATGGAACGGCGTCAGCTTCAGCGGGACGCCACATCTGAAACCCAATCTCCTCTACACCTACGAGTTCGTGTTCACCAAAGAGGAAGCTTACTACATCTACTACCTCCGCAACACGTCGGTCATATCCATGATGAAGATAACTCCCACCGGTCTGATCCAGAGGTACACGTGGCTCGGCGTCAAGCAAGGCTGGATGATCTATCTCACGGCGCAGAACGACAACTGCGATCGGTACGCGGTGTGTGGAGCTTATGGCAGCTGCGACATCGAGAGCTCCCCGAGCTGCAGCTGCCTCAAAGGGTTCGTCCCCAAGGTGCAGAGGGAATGGGATATGGTGGATTGGACCAGTGGATGTGTGAGGAAGACTCATTTGAATTGCCTGGATGATGGGTTTGTGAAGTACTCTGGCGTTAAGCTGCCCGAGATGTCGAACAAGTCGTGGTTCGATGTGGCGATCGGCTTGGAAGAGTGCAGGAAAGTGTGTCTGAGGAACTGTTCGTGTACGGCTTACTCGAGTTTGGACATCAGGAATGGTGGGAGTGGGTGTCTGATTTGGTATGATGACTTGCTTGATATTAGGCAGTTGTATGACAACGGTGAAGATCTCTATGTGAGGATGGCTCGTTCTGAGATAGGTAATGAGGGGAAAGGTTTGGTTTTAGTTCGCCGTCGAATTTGGACCTGGCTATGAATTGAATGTGTGTTTTGTTTTTCTTCCGCAGAGGAGGAGAGTAAGCATCTGAAGATCAAGGAAGCAAGAAAGAGAAGAGTAATTTGGATCTCTGTGGGAGGAGGGTTATTAGGTGGTGTGTTGTTTGTGATGTTTGGATTGATCATTTGGGCGAAGAGAAAGAAGGTGCAGGGGAATGGTAAGAGCAGGTTTCGATTCGTATCGGATCGTCGATTGTATGATATGGTCAAATTTTACTAAGGTGGTGGCGAAATTTTGCAGGTTCAGCTGAATGTTCAGACTTTTTGCGATGTATGAGCGGAAATGATATGAGGAAAGAAAGGGAAGATATGGATTTGCCATTGTTTGACCTGGCTACCATTGTCTCTGCAACTAACAACTTCTCTGACACTAATGTTCTTGGACAAGGAGGGTTTGGAACTGTTTATAAGGTAATGCCTTTACTTTTGGAACTGTGTCATTGCCGATATATGTAGCAGAAACTAGAGGCTGAGAAATGGTGTACATTTTTTCGTACAGGGGATCCTAAGAGATGGAGTGGAAATTGCTGTCAAGAGGCTAGCAAAGGATTCACTACAAGGAGCCGACGAATTCAAGAACGAAGCAATGCACATTGCGAAGCTTCAGCACCGGAACTTGGTGAGGCTCCTGGGATGTTGCTTGCAGCGCGATGAAAGAATGCTGGTCTACGAGTTCATGTCCAACAAAAGCTTGGACGTTTTCATTTTCGGTTTGTGTTCCGTTCTCCCCCCTCTCAGCTTGTCAGACTGGAAAATCTCCAAGCTGAACTGTTTTTTACAAAAAAACTCGAAATCATATGTTGTGCAGATAGCAACCAGAGCCACATTCTGGACTGGCCGAAGCGACACAACATCGTCAAGGGGATTGCTCGCGGGATTCTCTACCTTCACCAAGACTCGAGGCTGAGAATAATCCACCGCGACCTCAAAGCCGACAACGTGCTGCTAGATCATGAGATGAACCCCAAGATATCGGATTTCGGGCTGGCCAGAACCTTTGCTGGAAATGTCATCCAAGGAAACACAAGAAACGTTGTGGGAACATAGTAAGCAGGATCATATCTGTTATCACCCTTAGAATATTTAGTTATTTTCTTCGAACTCATGAATTAATTGAGAATCTATCTCTTTCTGAAGTGGCTATATGTCTCCTGAATACACGATCGACGGGATCTACTCGATCAAATCGGACGTGTTCAGCTTCGGAGTGATGGTGCTGGAGATATTGAGTGGACAAAGAAACAGGGGATTCAGCCATCCCGGCCACGAGCTTAACCTCCTTGGCCATGTAAGTTTATATATACAGACATTGTTGATTGTTTCCACTTTGTCATCTGCAATTCTTACTCCAAACTGTGAACTAAAAATTCTCCTGTTGGGATTTTTGGCTCAGGCGTGGAGCCTGCAAAGAGAAGGCAGGGGTCTAGAAGTGATCGATGCAACGCTGAGAGCGTCGTGGGACGAATCGCAGGTGCTACGATTGTTACACATCGGGCTACTTTGCGTGCAGAAGAGCCCCGACGACAGGCCGAGCATGTCGATGGTGGTGGACATGTTGAGCGGGCACGGTGGTCTGTTGGGACCAAACCAGCCGGGATTCTTCGCCGAAAGGGACATCTCATTCGCGAGTTCTTCTTCGAGCGGGAACAGAGGTCCCTGTACAACTACCATGTCTGTTACGCTGCTACAAGGGAGATGAAGAGGTTGTAACAAAGGGACGTCAAACAGGAGGGAAATGGGTTAGGAATTAGGCGTACAAATATGATACGAGAGCTTTGTAGTGACGAAATGGTTTAGTAAATATTTTCCCCACTTCTTTTCTTGAGTTCTGAAAGAGCCATTCAGGTTTCGTGAATCGTAACTGTGGATATGTACATTTTTTTTTAGTCTGTGATGATGGGCTTATTCAGAGCAAAATAAGGAAGGAAGAGGTTAACCAAATACGGCCCAACAGAAGGGAAACGAGCCAAGAACGTAGGGCTTTTTCATTAGATTGATAACTGGGGTCCAACGATGTCAATTGAATCCTGTTGGTAATGAATCTTCCTGGTAATCAATTCGGTCAAAACGAGTAAAACTAATGTTGACAGGTTGTATATCGGATGTGGATAAAAATTATTTTTAAAAATTGGCGGATTGGATTGAGTATGCGTGTGAGTTTGGTCAAAACTAAACCAACGTTCTACCCGACCTGCATTAAAATAATAATAATAACGTTGTTTTGCATCTACCATAATAATATGAATAATTTACGAATGTTGTTACTAGTCTTTTTGGCAATACAATTATAATAATATGGATAATCATTGATATTATTAGTTTTTATATCAATATAGTTGTAGATAAAATTTGATAACATGAGGATGTGGGTGTTCGGAGGACTGATCCGTGATTGTGTTCATGAATCCATGAATACTCATACATCCATAGATATTCGTTAAGTTGACTTTTCTCTTTCAAAATTTACCAGATTTTTTAAGGGATGTAGTCCACTCAACCCAACCCCGACTAGTTATTACTTATTAGCCCTAAGTATGACGATTAGCTTGAGATACATGATCAGCTATGGTATTGGTTAAATTCCTAAATTTGAAGTTAACTAGCAGTACATATTAGAACTTCAGTTAATGCCTTAGCAATAAACAACCTCTATGCCCAATTATGGGAAAAGAGAAATAAAATAAGGGTTTTGCCATAAGTGATGAACCGAATTTTCAATTAATTTCATTGTTGACCTTATTAAATCTGCAAAGTCTCTGTCTCATGTTGCTCTTCGACTTTTAGCAGCCATTCTCTGTTCCATTCTACAAGCAATTATAAAAAAATTGGCGCCATTACCAAACGAGAATAGAAATACCAACACACAAATCATGCCTCCCTAGTGAATGGATCACGAATCTTTGTTTTTAACCTTTTGAAAAACAAATTTTGTGATTTCTCGAGTGCGACATTCACATAGGTTTATAAGACTTTGACTTGATCTATATCGATTTCTCAACTAAATTCTTGGAACCTGACCAATGATTTTATAGTTTTGATATTTCTAAGTTAAAGAATTCGTCTCCTAATCAAGAACCCTTCACCAGCATTAATATTTTTTTTTGAGAGAAACAAGCATTAATATTTTTTAGTTAAAGCATTCAACTCCTTATCAAGAAATCCTTTTACTCTTGACTAAGTCTACCTTCTGTCTAATATTGAAATTCTTAATATTTTATCATAGTCATGCATTGTGGTTCATATGTAATTTGACTCCTTCTCTCTCGACATTTAAATGCGGCAATGTAGGGTGCTAAACAAAAATTTTGTCAGCAATAACACACAAATTTATTATCTAATAAAATACAATCCGTTCCTCGTAGTCCAAAATTTGAACTAACTCTCAATCAAGGATGGATTTTCGCAACTCGATCTAAGACACTTGACAGTTAACACACCATCAAGAATTGTCCTCTTCTTCACATGATTATGATGATGGATGCCTAACTCTTAGCAATTAGCATGTCTCTTTGTTAGAATTTTTTTTTTATTCAATCTCAACGAATTGGTCTAGTTGTAAATTGTAATGCGAATATGAGAATATCCGTCATACTTTAATCAATAACAAAAATTAATTTTGTTAGAAACTTGACCGCGGGAAAAAACTACTACTAACTCTGCTATATATTATTGGGTAGAGAAAGATTGGGAGATTCCTCGTATCTGTCTCCACAAAGAAAAACTCGTCCAAACATTCAGTCATGATCAACGCAATCACAGTTCTTCTCCTCTCATGTCTCTGTTTTCCCCTGCTACCTGCCACCTCCGCCTCTGCCAACGCCGTGAACCCAGCTCTTCCCCTTCGCGACGGTGACACAATCGCCTCCCCCGACGGAACCTACGAAATCATAGGCGGAGCCAGCCTATATTGCCCTTGTCCCAGGACAGGGGTAATATTTGGCTGGTAAAAAATACCCTATATATATATATATGTACGCAACATCTACAAGTAATATAATTAAGGATATTTTATTACTACATCGCAGTTCATTACTTGTTTAATAATTGATAAAAATAGTTAATTTATTTCTTCCATTCATAATAATTATTTGATAATAGCTTGTTGGGTATTATCATGATGTTATGAGATTTCATTAATTGAAAGAAATTGATGAATTATCTCAAATAATGATGAAGACAAAAGTACGTAAGTCATATCCGTCAGTTTATTTGCTTCTGAAACTAGTTTTGATTCTACCTGTTGCAACTGTAAGTGTAGAAATAACATTTTTAGCTTGAACTATACTAATATCAAGTTTCGAAGTCGAATTTGTGATCAGTTTGCTAATGAAAATTCGTCATAGTTGTTTATGCAAACATCAATTGTATTAGTCGATTAATTCTTTATTTATCTTAATTATTAATTATATTTTTATATTTTAAAAAGAGGACAGGGGTAGTTTCAAATCCTGCCTCCGCCACTGTACGAAATGGGCTTTTTCAGCCCGGGAAGCTCCAAAAACCGCTACTTTGGAATCTGGTACAAAGAAATCCCTCTTCTCACAGTTGTATGGGTAGCCAACCGCGACAAACCCATCACCATTAACGAGTCTCTCCTTTCATCATCAAGACCAATCCTTCAGCTAACCAACGACGGAATTCTCGTCATTCGCCTCAATACCACCAACGCCACCGTAATTTGGTCATCAACAGCAACAGGCTCGCCGCCGGTCCGCGATCCGGTGGCTCAACTTCTTAACTCAGGAAACCTGATAGTCAAGAAAAGCGAGGAAACTGGAAATGAAAATCCGCTCTGGCAGAGCTTTGACTACCCAGGGGACACGTTTCTCCCCGGCATGAAACTGGGGAGAGACCTAGTCACCGGTCTGAACCGGCGGATGTCGTCGTGGAAATCCCCCGACGACCCTTCACAGGGGAACTACAGGTGCGTTTTGGTGATCTAGAAACGTAAAAAAAAATGTAACATTTTAAACTTTAAAGCGTAAATTTTGACTACATTTTGTAATGCGCGCGATTATGACTACATTGCAGTTACGGGGTGGAAATCGGCGGCGACCTCGAGCTGGTCCTGAGAGAGAATTCAATGGAGCGGTTCAGGACGGGACCGTGGAACGGCGTAAGCTTCAGCGGGACGCCGCCATTGAAACCCAATCTCGTCTACACTTTCGAGTTCGTGTTCAACGAGAAGGAAGCATACTACATCTACCACCTCCGCAACGACTCTGTCATAACCCGGATGTCCATAACCCCGGCCGGTCTGATCCAGAGGTATACCTGGCTCGGCGGCAAGCAAGGCTGGGTGATCTATCTTACAGCGCAGAACGACAACTGCGACCGGTTCGGGGTGTGTGGGACCTTCGGCAGCTGCAACATTGAGAGCAACCCGAGTTGCAGCTGCCTCCAAGGGTTTGTGCCCAGAGTGCAGAGGGAATGGGATATGGTGGATTGGAGTAGTGGCTGTGTGAGAAGGACTGAGTTGAATTGCGGGGATGATGGGTTTGTGAAGCTCTCTGGCGTTAAGTTGCCGGGTATGACGAACAAGTCCTGGTTTGATGCGGAAATGAGCTTGGAACAGTGTAGGGATGTTTGTCTGAGGAACTGTTCCTGTACGGCTTACTCGAATTTGGACATCAGGAATGGTGGGAGTGGGTGTCTGGTTTGGTATGGTGACTTGCTTGATATCAGGCAGCTGTATGGAAATGGTGAAGATCTCTATGTAAGGATGGCTGCTTCAGAGATAGGTAATGGGGGGAATTGAAATTTTGGGTTAGCTCTAGCTGCCAAGTTGAACTGAAAATGATTGAATTGAATGTGTTCTGTCTCATTCCTCAGCTGAGGAGAAGAGTAAGGAAGGGAAGAAGAGGAGAGAAATTTTGATCGTTGTGGGTGGAGGGTTATCAGCTGGTGTGTTCTTCGTGATGATCGGGTTGATCATACGGGTTAAGAGAAAGAAGGTGCAGGGGAATAATGGTACGAGCAAGTTTCTATTAGTATCAGATCGTCGTTGTATGATGTGGTTAAATTTTACTAACTTGCTAAGTTGGTGGTGAAAATTTGCAGGTGCAGCAGAATTTTCAGGTTTTTTGCGATGTCTTGGTGCAAGTCGTACCAGGAAAGAGAGGGAAGGTCTGGAGTTACCACTGTTTGATCTGGCTACCATTGTTTCTGCAACTAGCAACTTCTCCGGGACTAATGTTCTTGGACATGGAGGTTTCGGAACTGTTTATAAGGTAATGCCTTTTGTTCTTGAAGCTGTGACGTTGCAGAATGTGTGTCTAGCAAAACTGCAGGTTATGAAATGGGAGAATATTGTGCAGGGGATCCTGAGAGATGGAGTGGAAATTGCTGTGAAGAGGCTGGCAAAGGATTCACAGCAAGGAGCTGACGAATTCAAGAACGAAGCGATGCACATTGCCAAGCTTCAACACCGGAACTTGGTGAGGCTTCTGGGATGTTGCGTGCAGCGCGACGAAAGAATGCTGGTCTATGAGTTCATGCCGAATAGAAGCTTGGACTTCTTCATTTTCGGTCTGGTTCTTACTTCTTCCCCCGTTGCTCTTTGCCTTAATTCTGCCCCACTGAGAAATTGCCAAAACTAAACTGCTGATTTCCCCCAATAAAAACATGTTATGCAGATATCAAGCAGAGACATTTACTAGATTGGCCTACGCGATATAACATTGTCAAGGGGATTGCTCGCGGGCTTCTGTACCTCCACCAAGACTCGAGGCTGAGAATAATCCACCGCGATCTCAAAGCCAGCAACGTGTTGCTGGATTATGAGATGAACCCTAAGATATCGGATTTCGGGTTGGCTAGAACTTTTGCTGGCAATGACATCCAAGGGAACACAAGGAACGTTGTGGGAACATAGTAAGTTAACCCATAAATTATATGTTAATCAACCTACAGTGTATAGTTAACTCCTTTGAACTGATGAATCAATTTCCTCCTGAAAGTGGCTATATGTCACCGGAATACGCGATCGACGGGATTTACTCGATCAAATCGGACGTTTTCAGCTTTGGAGTGATGGTGTTGGAGATACTGAGTGGGCAGAGAAACAGGGGATTCTGCCATCCTGATCATGAGCTTAACCTCCTTGGCCATGTAAGTTGGTTACATTGCGATCTTGTCCCTCCACTTTCTTATCTGCAATTTTGCCGCACACAGTGTGAACAATAATTGTCCTTCTGGTGGGAATTTTTGGCTCAGGCGTGGAGCCTGCAAAGAGAAGGCAGGGGTCTAGAAATGAAGGATGCAACACTAAGAGAGTCGTGGGACGATTCGCAGGTGCTACGACTGTTGCACATCGGACTACTGTGCGTGCAGAAGAGTCCCGACGATCGGCCGAGCATGTCCGTGGTGGTGGACATGTTAAGCGGGCAAGGTGGTCTGTTGGAACCAAACCAGCCGGGATTCTTCACCGAAAGGGAAATCTCGTGCGCAAGTTCTTCTTCTTCGAGCGAGAACAGAGGTCCCTGTACTAATAACATGTCTGTTACGTTGCTACAAGCGAGATGATGAATGTAAACAGAGCATTGAAACAAGAAATGGGTAAGAGATTAAATGATACGGAATCTGTCACAGATCCACAGATATTGGATACTGAACATTTTGGTGTTTGCATTCTTTTCTTGACGAACAAGGCACGAGAACATAAACTCAAATGAAGTTGAAGTCTTGATGATGCGGCCCAAAGCCCCAAACTATGCATTGGTGAGATTGAGCATAAGAGGCCGATATTCGTCAGAGGGAATTGGGCTCAGGAGGTTAAGAGCAAAATGAGGAGAACCAGAACCAAATACGTGTGTATAACTTTTTGAGGACTACAATTTTCATAACGTGTGTATTTTGAGAATTTTTTTTAAAAACATGTGTACAGTGGGAAATTTTCCACGATTAAGTCTCATTGCCAACCACAGAAGGCACTTGGGTTGGGTGGAAGCTAGCCAGGGGAAGCCAACAAGTCACTAGTCAACTTATTAGGGAGTGTACGATACTTTTAACCGAACAATTTTCACTTTATCTCACGTGGATATATCTAGTACTTGTGACATGAAACTTTTTTAGTACTCATATGTCATATTCACTTTCCATTTGAAGTATTCGTTCATATAGAAAACAAAGTCACTAACCACATATTATTAGAGACAAATTCTCTTTATTTGTAAAAATTTCACTTCTATAACAGACGTATCACATCTTTCATTGCCCTATCAACCAATTGCGTAGAGAAAATTGACGCCATATGTGGTTTCGATACTAATTAACAATGTATAATTCACATCCCAATATCTAGGGGGTAATGAACATTACACAACATATTAAACAGTAGTAGCTGTTCAAAAATACTATTTGTTTTTTGTTTTTTTATAGCCGATGATCAGTGTGTGGAACGGTTAACAAATATGACGGTTATTCGATACTTTAAACACAAAAAACAACATGTTGTTATGTGAAAGTAGGGTACGGACCATTCTGATAACCCACAACCCACAATAATAAGTACGAATATGAAATTTTCGATTCACGATTCACTCGCATTAATCGCGCGGTTTGAATTATCTACAAGTAATATAATGGAGATTCATGTATCACTTTTTCTCCATTTTGAAATTGCAGCCACGGGAGTGTTTTGCGGAAGGGCAATTATGACAAATCCTCTCATTTTAATTCAACTGAAACTCCGCGTTTTGAACACCAACGCTTGCAACTCGACAATTTCCAATCCTTGAAAACCACCTCCGTCTTCAGTGCTTCCCCGACGTCGTCCCACCTTCCCCTCCCTACACGCCGTTTTCACCAATCCTGCTGGCAGTTGTTCACGAAGAAGCTAGGCGTCGGGCAGTTGTTCTAGACACTAGCTGCAGAATAGAGCATCAGAATCGTCTTCTGCCCCTTCGCCGATTCCCCATTATCGACTTTGTTGTCACCTTCCCAGCTACTACCTTTTCTCAACCCTCTATCTGTAATCCCTAACTATTCTCCAGAATCCGATTTCTCGACCAGAAACAGGTTAGAACTACCCTCCATCTTGGCTTTTTTCCCTTCCCCAACACAGTAGCGTCAGTTTGGGAGAGTGTTTTTGGACTGATTTTTGTTTCTGGGCACAAATGGCCATTTTCATTTTCATCATCAATTTCCGCTTATGTGATTTGATTGCTTCCATATGTTCTTACCTCTTTTTGTAATTTTCCCCATTTCTTTCGTTTGATGAGGATTGTTCCTTTCACTGTTAAATAGTTCAACGTATGTTGATTTGTGCAATTGATTCTTGCTTGCTTTCAGTATGATTTTGATTTCACTCTTGAATAGTTTAGTTTGCTGGCAGGGAAACTGAAACTTGCTCTATCAGTAGTCATATAATCATATTCTAATTCACTCAAGTTCTTCAACCGGGAAGTAAACACTCTAGATTCTTCGTGACGTAATTGGAGGTATGTATGTAGCGCTGTAATTTTACATGGTTTTTATTCCCATCAAGTGATGAATTTCCCTTTTTAAGTTTCTTGGTGGATTTTGGAATTGCTTTAATTATCTCTGATATGGCCATTGGCTACTTAATCATTTAAGTTGTTTTTACTTGAAGACCACAATGATTAATGATACCACAAAACCCTTATAAGTTATCCCCTAAAATTCACGCATCCCACCTAGCTTGACCTTGCTTCACATTCCTCCTTCCCCTTCCCCTTCCCCTCCGGCAGCTATTGAAGAAGAAACCAGCTGTCCAGCAGAACATTGGAATCGTCATCTTCTATTGATGTAGTTAATTGGTTCCTTGCCTCTGTTATGGACCGCCGATAGCAAAGATCTGCCTTTTTGGGTTGAAAGGAGCATATTTGGAATTTCAGCTCCCTCCACGTCTCTATCACATGAAAATATTAATACAGAAATTAGCAATGAGGCATATAAAGGGGTTCAACTTCTAATTGTAACTTTCGTAATGCACAAAATAATCCTTTGGTTTTTCTTTTATAGCTTGAACCCTTGACTCATATTAAGAATGCTCAATCTGAATCTTTGCACTAGGTCATTTTATGGTTTCTCCAATAGCTAATACAACGAAGCTCTCTTCTATGCATGCAAAATGGTCACAAATTCCATGGGATAATAGTTTGTGCAAAATAAGTAAGGTTAATATTGTATCGAGAAGGGTTTTTACGTCGTCGTGTTACATCTTCAACATGCTACTTCATATTGTTGATCAATCTCTAATGTGCCCTGTATTTTCTTTCGCATCATATAATTTCATATCTATAACGTGTATCGTGATGAATAAAGACGGTAACTATTGAGAAAATGTATTTGATTAAACTACATGAATAGACAATCATTTTCATTTACGATTAAGATGGATTATATGTGTATAATGGAAGAAAACTCTCATGTTTTGTTTGTTGATGTGACTTGAATCGAACTATCAGCTGCTACAACTGGAAGTCATGGGGGTTGATACACGTTTGGGTTGTCAGTTTTGGGCCTGGTCCGTAACCGTTTCCTTTACCATGTTGAATTAGGTTTTAGACCCACATGGAGAAGTATAAATACTTCTCATCTCCTCTATAATATGTAATCTCCTCGATATAGTGAAACTGGCTCTCGCGCCCGTGGACATAGCTAATACACATCGTGTCAGTGAACCACGTAAATCGTGTGTCTATTTTTAATTCTCGCTTTCGTATTCTTGCTTTCTCGACTCCAGCGATTTTCTAATCCGTAATAGCGCAGTTATAACATTGTTCTATTGAAATACAAAATAAATAGACATCACTTTCTTACTAGATATCATTATTCGCTATTTATTTTTATATTTTTTTATCAGTACCGAACAACTTTACATTATGAATGATAACAACACATAATCAAACTCTCCGGCCAAGGGCCGGGCCCAGTGCTAGTTTATGAATGGAGCTAATATCAAAGTGCAGAGTAACCACCCACCCACACACCCTCGACCTACGTCCTACGAAACTAAGAAGAAAACGCGAAGAAGCTACCTTCTCCTGGGCCACTGAGGACGAAGATGCGGTCCAAAATCGTACCACTACACCATGGTTGTCACGCCGGCCGGCGTGCCACCGGTTGTACCGGGTTCAACCGATACCGGTCATAAAGCCGGCGTGACACCACCGGTATGACCGGCATGATCGATATACGAATCTTTAAGTAAAATGACTTCAATTTAGAAAATTTAATTGACAAAAATTATTTTATTATTTATTTTATGAGTATAAAAGTTAAAGATTGATGTTATTTGTTGGATTCAAGTATAAATGTTTAGGTATTGACGTTAAATGTCATGTTTAAATATGATTATTTATAATTTTATTTGTAATATTGACCGGCATGAACCGGCACAAACCGGTATGTGCCACCGGTTGAACCATTTCACTTGCTAAACCGGTACACTGGCATAAACCGGTTTGACAACCTTGCACTACACCAAACACTTTGCTAAAACTGGGTCATCAAAATCTAAGGCAATTCTTGAGCAGAAAATTCTGTGTCTGGGAACTGGAAGTCTTTCCTTCTCATTTTGAACGTCATTATCTCTTCTCCTCACGGCGAGCAATTTCTGGATTTTTCTGCTCTGTCCGCATCCCCGTCTTCCAGATCATATTTGACTACTTCTCCCACTTTTGCCATTTAACAACAAGCAGAAAATGATAAACAAAATTGACTGCTTTCCCTCGAAAGCAGACAGAAAATAAAGTAGCTGCAGGGTCATCAATATCAAAAGAACAACCCCGTTTTCACACGCGGCATTAAAGTAATGGAATTGATGACTTGTGAAAGCGGAGAATTGGAATTGATCACCTCTCCAATAATTAGGACCGCATAAATATTTTATGGTGTATTCGGCTGTTGACTTCATGGACTCAAAGCTTCCCTTAGATCTTTTCTTTTCCCCCCATGGCCACCACAGAATTCTAGTCAGCAATTCATCATCAATGGGTTGCTGGGCACATGCTCTGTTTTTCTGTTCCTCTGTTTTTCTGGCAATAACCCAGTCCAGAGCGGTCGACACATTCAATTCATCTCAACCCATTGCAGACGGCGACACCATCGTCTCAGCTGGTGACACATTTGTGCTGGGATTTTTCAGTCCACGCAACAGTTCAACGAATCGCTACTTGGGCATCTGGTATCGCAACATCCCCGGCCAAGCCGTGGTTTGGGTTGCAAACAGAGACAATCCCATCAACGACTCAACCGGCCTTCTCACGATTAACAGCCAGGGGAATCTGGCTCTTCTTTTGAATCCCAACAACGGGAGTTCATCAGTCTGGTCTTCCAACTCCTCGAGCCCAGCGAGAAATCCAGTCGCCCAGCTTTTGGATTCGGGCAACTTGGTTCTGAGGGAGGCAGGGGATGACAACTTCTTATGGCAGAGTTTCGATCATCCGTCTGACACGCTACTAGCAGGGATGAAGCTTGGATTAGACAAAAGAACCGGGCTTGATCGGTACTTGACATCTTCCAAGGCAGCTGATGATCCTTCCAGCGGTAGCTTCACATACAGGATTGACCCCAGAGGATACCCTGAGTTCATCCAGAGCGAAGGCTCGACCGAGCGTTATCGAACTGGTCCATGGAATGGGTTGAGGTTTAGTGGAACACCATACCTAAGGGCTAACCCAATTTACAGGTTTCAGTTCGTTGTGAGCGACCAAGAGATCTACTACAGCTATCTCCTACTGGGCAACACTTCGACCGTATCGAGGTTGGTGTTGAATCAGAATGGGATCATTCAGAGGCTGACTTGGTCAGGAGATACACAAGGCTGGGTGATCTATGTCACGGCTCAAATGGATTTCTGCGACCGATATGCGCTGTGTGGCGCTTACGGTAGCTGCAATATACGAAGCTCCCCTGTCTGTAATTGCCTGAGAGGGTTTGTGCCCAAGGCTCCTAATGAGTGGAACTTGGTGAACTGGTCTAATGGTTGTGTTAGGCAGACTGCACTAAACTGCTCTGCAGATGGGTTTGTGAAGTACTCCGGAATCAAGCTGCCTGAAACACGTAGATCGTCGTTTAACGTGAGTATGAGCCTCGATGAGTGCAGGGGGAATTGCTTGAGGAGCTGCAATTGTACAGCTTATGCTAATCTGGATATCAGGGATAGAGGGAGTGGGTGCTTGCTCTGGTTTAGTGAGTTGATTGATATAAGAGAGCTGGAGGATAGTGGACAAGACATTTACATAAGGATGGCTGCTTCTGAGATAGGTAAGGAAGCTGAAGTGTGTGTTTGCAGACTAATGCTTTGATTATCCATAAGAAGAAACATGTGTTTGTGTGTTCACTTTACTTATCTTTAGTTTCTTGTTTTATTTTCTGGATGATTCATGTAGAAGCAACAGGGGATTCAGAGACTAATTCCGGATCCAGTATGAGGAAGGAAATTATCATTTTGATCGTTGTGTTGTCAACAGGGCTGGTGCTGATAGGTCTAGCCTTGATCTTCTTTCTGCGGAGTTTCAGGCAGAAAAAACAGAGTAAGTATTCTAATTGTTTGCAGTTCACTCTTTAGACACACAACACCAATACTATTCTCAATCCCCAAATGGATCCACTAATTTCCATTCGATCCCTTCAGATAATGATAGCTTGAAGATTTCTAGTTGATGAGACAGAGATGTGGTTGTTTGTCCTATGTTTCAGGAGAATTGGGAGGAGTTGATCTAGAAGAGAGTACAAATTTGAGCACAAACAAGGATGATTTGGAGCTGCCACTGTTTGATATGCCTACAATTGCGTTAGCAACAAACAGCTTCTCCCTCAGCAATGTAGTTGGAGAAGGTGGTTTTGGACCTGTCTATAAGGTAAAATAAGAACTTGATGAGCAAGTCAATCAGTCGATGGATGTCAGGGTGAATTTCGGAAGAACAGAGATGGGTGGTGGCCTAACTCTGATTAAAACCATTTTACAGGGAGTACTGAAAGATGGACAAGAAATAGCAGTGAAGAGGCTATCAAAGGAGTCGAAACAAGGGCTTGGTGAGTTCAAGAACGAGGCCAAGCACATTGCCAAACTTCAGCACAGGAATCTAGTGAAGCTCTTAGGATGCTGCATTCAGGAAGAAGAGATGATTTTGATCTACGAGTTCATGCCCAACAAAAGCTTGGACTACTTCATTTTCAGTAATGCATTCTGCCTTTTTGTGCTTACTTAATGTTTTGATGTGAAAGTACAGTGGACTGACTGGGTAAGGAATGACTTGCAGATGAAAAACAAAGCACGTTACTTGATTGGCCTGCGCGGTATCAGATCATCAATGGGATTGCTCGCGGACTCCTGTACCTCCACCAAGATTCAAGACTCAGAATAATCCACAGGGATCTAAAAGCTGGCAACATCCTGCTGGATTTTGAGATGAACCCAAAAATTTCAGATTTCGGATTGGCAAGAAGCTTTTCAGAGAGCGATAGCAAAACGAACACCAGGAAGGTGGTCGGCACGTAGTAAGTGTATACATCCACAAACATATTGATGCTTTCTTTCAATCATGAATGTAAAGTCAAAGGCTTTAAGACTTAAAACTTCCTGGGTATTTCATGGCAGTGGTTACATGTCACCAGAGTATGCAATCGACGGCATCTACTCAGTGAAGTCGGATGTTTTCAGTTTTGGGGTGATGGTGCTAGAGATTATTAGTGGGAAGAGAAACAGGGGCTTCTCTCATCCTGATCACCAACTCAACCTTCTTGGCCATGTAAGTTACACCCAGAATTTGCATTTTATCTTCACAATAAAATTGATTGCAAATGACACGTGATGACAATGCTATTTCATTTGGTTCAGGCATGGAAGCTATATCAAGAAGGAAGGTATGAGGAACTGATGGATAAAACAGTAAGGAATTCATGCGACCTCGACCAGGTGTCCCGGTCAGTCAACATTGGTCTTCTTTGCGTTCAAAGGAGTCCAGAGGACAGGCCTACCATGTCGTCTGTGGTTCTAATGTTGAGCTGTGAAGGTGAGTTGCCTCAGCCTAAAGAACCAGGGTTCTACGGCGAAAGAGATTTTGTAGAAGTTGGCAATTCTTCAACCAGCAACAACGTGCGGTGTTCAGCAGATTATAGTTTAACTGAAATAGAAGCTAGATGAGGCAAAGCAGCAAGTGGAGATATAGGGCAAAGAGTACTTACATTACAGTTTCATGACATTTGATGCCAGAGCTTAGTTAGTTCCACATTTGATACCGGCTTCTGCTTGTGCCTTCTGCATTTGATTTTGATGTATAGATTGATGAAATATCTTGACCTGCATTATTGCGTCTTTCAGATCAATCAACCCTTCAGAGGAAATTGTCCAAAAAAGAAAAAACCTAGGAAAGAGCGATCATTACTAACATTCTCGTTTGGGCAATTCGTCGAACAGTTAGCGGGCATGTCACTGTTAGTATTTGCTGCATCGATCCATCAAGTGTTCGGCGAGTCTTGATTGAATGAAAGAAGTGACGAGATATTGAGATGCCAATTTGGCATTTTGCTCATATATGACGTCGTGACGTAGCAGTGGCGCCAACATTGAACTAGGTTGAAGTTCTTGACCCGTTTCCTTCCCTCTTCCCTCCGTTTTCACTCCTGAAAGGCTGAAATCAATCAATCAATCATCGAAAACCAGAGTCAAAAGTTTCTAGATAAAATTCAGGGACCCACCAGCACCTGCTTCCCCACTTCTGAGAATTTGGAGAAAAAAATTCTGCCCAATAGGCCAATACACTCATTTCCTTTTCCATCCCCTGTTCGTTGTCTATCTTCTTTCCTCCACAAAATCAGTGTTTAGTAGTCAATGAAAACAATCATCTTTCTTCTCCCCCCTGCAAGAAAGCAGAAGAAAAGCAAGACTAGTAGTATAGTTTATTCATGGCAGCGACTTATTAGACATGCTTCTCCTCCCTGGAGTCTTCCCACCAAATCCAACCACTCCCCTGTTTCTTGCTCCATTGCTGCGGACAGAACGATGAAAGTATGAAACTTTCAATTTGATCATCTTCCCCATCCATGAAAGGCTCCAACTTTCCGCTTTTCCTTGTTGCCCTTCTCCTCCCCTTCTTCGCACTTTCCACTCTCGCCGCCGACACAATCGCCGTCAACCAATCCATCGCCGACAACCAGAGCCAGACCCTCGTCTCCTCCGGCGGCAGCTTCGAGCTTGGCTTCTTCACCCCTAGCTCCAGCAGCAGCAGCTCATCGTCGTCGAATCTCCGGTACATCGGAATCTGGTACAACTTCTCCAAGCAATCCGTCGTCTGGGTCGCCAACCGAGATTCCCCTCTCACCGATTCATCCGGCGTCCTCCAGCTCGCCGCCGACGGCTCCCTCCGTCTCCTCAACTCATCGAACGCGGTTGTTTGGTCTACCAATAGCACAAAAGCAGCCAACCCACCTCGAAATCCACTCGCCAAACTTCTCGACTCCGGAAACCTCGTCGTCGGGGAATCCAACTCCGACGATTACCTCTGGCAGAGCTTCGATTACTTGAGCGACACGATCCTCCCGGGGCTCGAATTCGGGCACAATCGAGAAACCGGCCGAGACCGTTACCTAACCTCGTGGAAATCCCCTGATGATCCTTCCCCTGGCGACTGCACGACCCGGCTTGACCCGGACGGGTACCCGCAAATCTTCATCCGAAAAGGCGAGAACATCGTCTTCCGGTCCGGCCCATGGAATGGGCTCCGGTTCAGCGGGATGCCCAATCTGAAGCCCAACCCAATCTACACCTACGAGTTCGTCTACAACTCCAAGCAAATCTACTACCGCTACGACTTAACTGACAAATCTGTGATTTCCCGGCTGGTGCTCGACAACCAAGGGATTCTCCAGCGGTTCACCTGGACCACCAGCACCAGGACATGGAACCTCTATCTGACGGCGCAGATGGACAATTGCGACCGGTACGGGCTTTGCGGCCCGTACGGGAGCTGCAACATCAACAATTCGCCGCCGTGCGGTTGCCTGATCGGGTTCGAGCCGAGGTCGCGGCAGGATTGGGATTCAGGGGACTGGTCCGGCGGGTGCGTGAGGCGGAACGATTCGGTTTGTGGTGTTGGCGAAGGGTTTCAGAGGATTGTGAGCGTGAAGCTGCCTGATACGAGTAAGTCGTCGTTCAATGCTAGTATGGATTTGGGGGAATGCGAGGCGACTTGCTCGAAGGATTGTTCTTGTACGGCTTATTCTACTCTGAACATTACTGATGGAAGCGGGTGCTTGCTTTGGTTTGGTGATCTTGTTGATGTTAGAGAGTATACTGAGAATGGTCAGGATTTCTTCATCCGGCTTGCAGCTTCTGATCTGGGTACGTTCATTTTCCTTCCGCTGCACTTTCCTTCTGGTTTTGCATCAAAGGTTTAAGAAATTTCTTACAAGTCGAAGTTAAAGTTTTGAACTTTGAAGGATTGGGAAAAGGCTTGATGTCTGTCTTGCTGACGTTGTCACGCGCAGACAATTAACTGCGCGCCAAAATTTTCTTCCTGCATTTGTCACTTTCAGAAACATCAAACATTTGATTGTTACGTACAAGTTCAATTGAGAATGGACAGCGCCAAATCTAGTGTAGTTCCGGTAGCAGTAGATACAGCAATAGTTTGTATGATAGGATCAATTTATCGTCTCGTTTCTGGATATGTGATCTGAGAATTTTGGGATGGTGACAGTGTCAGTTGGCGGCTCAAAAAGGAAGACCAGGCTATGGATCATAGCTGTGTGTCTACTGGCAGTGGGGATTGCGGCTCTAGGTTTCTTCTTGATCTTCCGTTTCCGAAGGAAAAGGCTTCGGAGGCCAGGTACTGTTCAATTGAAAGTTATGCTCTTGCTAAGCAATCACTGTTGGTGCTCTTTGTTGAGCTAAATATTTATCTCGTGGGGATTCTTGCTTTGCAGCAAGCATCATGATGACACAAGAAAGAGACCAGACGGTGGATGAATCTCGAGAGCACGAACTTGAGTTGCCGCTGTTTGATTTCTCGACGATAACCAAGGCGACTGACCTTTTCTCTGAAAGCAGAAAGCTTGGAGAAGGTGGTTTTGGATCAGTGTACAAGGTAAGCACATTTGAGTACACTGGGATTTGTCTGTAAAACAGTGTTTGAGGTAAAGATAAGTGATTATTAAGAATGAGAATGGTCTTTCCAGGGCGTTTTTAAAGATGGACAAGAGGTAGCGGTGAAGAGGCTATCGAAGGATTCGACACAAGGACTCGATGAGTTCAAGAACGAAGTCATAACCATTGCCAAACTCCAACACAGAAACCTCGTGAAGCTTTTGGGCTGTTGCATTGAGAAAGAAGAGAAGGTTTTGGTTTATGAATACATGCCCAACAAAAGCTTGGATGCCTTCATTTTTGGTATGCAACCTCTTTGACAGCTTTCCTGTTGTTTCTCTGTGGCTCGGATAAACTTTCATCATAATGTTACCTGGTCTGATATATCCAATCTACAATACAGATCAAAAGCTGTTTCTTTTTTCTAATAAAACCTTTCATCATTTATAATAAAAAAAAAAATATAGATCCAAAGCAGAGGAAACTACTGGATTGGCCAATGCGGTTCCACATCATAAATGGGATTGCTCGGGGTCTGCTGTATCTACATCAAGATTCCAGGCTGAGAATCATTCACAGAGACCTTAAAGCGAGCAATGTACTGTTGGATTATGACATGAATCCCAAGATCTCAGATTTCGGGATGGCCAGGATTTTCGGTGGTAATGAAACCCAAGGCAACACGAAAAGGGTTGTTGGAACATAGTAAGTAAAGAGTTTTCTGCTTGCCAAAACTCTCACTTTCTCTGGGCTGGGAGTTAGTTCCCTTTCTGACTTTGCCTTACCATTCATTTCCTTTTGCAGTGGATACATGTCTCCAGAGTACGCCATAGATGGGCTTTTCTCCATCAAATCGGACGTTTTTAGCTTCGGAGTCCTGGTACTGGAGATTATAAGTGGGAAGAGAAACAGAGGGTTTTATCACGAGGATCACAAACACAACCTTCTAGGCCACGTAAGCTTTCTCCATCAACCAAAGCTCTTCTCCTACCAGGATGAGCCAACTTTCTGAAACTCTTTTTGGTTTTTTTTTCTTTACAGGCGTGGAGGCTGTACAGAGAAGGGAAGCCTGAAGAAGTGATGGACGAAACTATGAACGATTCGCAAGTGCTATCAGAAGTTGTGAGGTGCATCCATGTGGCTCTGCTGTGTGTTCAACAAGCTCCTGAGGACAGGCCTAAGATGTCGAATGTGGTTTTGATGTTGAGCAGCGATATTCTGCTGGCTGAACCAACAGAGCCTGGGTTTTTCACTGAAAGGAAAGTCTTTGATCAAGAATCATCTTCCAGTAAGGTTGATACATGTTCTACCAATGAGATCACCATTACATTGTTGACTGCTCGATAGAAGGCCTCCCATTCTTTCGTGTTCCTTGGCACATATAATCAAAATCATTCCATCAGTGATTTGTGTCATGGTTTGTTCATTTGTTCTGCTCATTGTATATTCCTTTTGCTGATCCGTTTTCCAAGTTGATAAAAGGGAAAATAACTTAAAGTTATTTAAGATAATACAATCTAAATCGGATATAATTCGATCGAAAACTAAATAAATAGCATTTGGGTCAAATGCATAAACAAAATCGAACTGGCCAACTGTATCATTTTGTTACAAATTGCAACCCAAATTGCCACTTTGTTATTCACAAAAATTATGTAAAAAAGTTCAGTACAGAGAAACTATGCAAAAATGAATGAAAAAAACCAGAAAATGGAGAGGTTTCATCTAGCATCTATAATAGTTTCAGACAACTTGTTATTGGTGGAGGAGTATTCATGCTTGCTGAATGAAGAAGAAGCTTCCAAGATATCCCTTTCAGTGAAGAAGCCAGGCTCTTTGGGTTGAGCTAGTTCAATCTCACTGCTGCTCAACATCAGAACCACATTTGACATGTTTGGCCTATCTTCAGGGCTCTGCTGCACACACAGAAGCCCTATGTGAACGATTCGTTCGACCTCTGCCATGTCGCTGCACGTGCTCCTTATGCATTCCTCCAGCAACTCATCAGGTCTGCCTTCTTTGAGCAGCATCCATGCCTGCAAGAAAGAAAGAAAAGAACCAACCCACTGGAGTTCGTCACCATCACCATTCACACAACTTCTGTATCAGATAGTGCTTCGATTTCAAGGAAAACAACTCACATGGCCAAGAAGATTGAGCTTGTGGTCAACGTGAGAGAACCCTCTGTTCTTCCTCCCGCTAATTATCTCCAGCACCAAAACTCCGAAGCTGAACACATCCGATTTCACCGAGAAGAGACCGTCGATCGCATACTCTGGCGACATGTAACCGCTGCAACAAATGTGTTTGAACCGCATTAATCATTCAGAAACTGATGCAATGGGAGCATGGAAATGTAATAACCAGGTTCATTTTCGAGATGTTTTACTATGTTCCGACGATTCTGTTGGTGTTTGCACTACTTTCGTCCCCTGCAAAGCTCCTCGCCATGCCGAAGTCCGATATCTTGGGGTTCATCTCATGATCAAGCAGGACGTTGCTAGCTTTCAGATCTCTGTGTATGATTCTCAGCCTCGAATCCTGATGAAGGTAGAGAAGCCCTCTCGCTATCCCGTTGATGATGTGGAGTCGCTTAGACCAGTCCAGTAACGCGCTTTGCCCTCTATCTGCAAAACAAAGTCGTTGCAATCAACCAAGTCAATCCCAATACGTACAAGCCAAGTCAAGATAATATCTAAAATGCTAATTGACGAGTTGACTTTATCAGGAAAGACAATATGGCCTCATTTGTTGACCGAGGCAATAAAGGAGCAACTTGGCTTCCATTTATATTCAGAAGTGGACTTGGTGATCTAGAAAGGGATCGGATCTGGTCAAGAGAGACAATATTTTTCTATTTTTGTTTGTACCAACCGAAAATGAAGAAGTTCAAGCTCTTGTTGGGCATGTATTCATAGATCAGCATTCTTTCAACGGACTGAATGCAGCAGCCAAGAAGCTTCACAAGGTTCCTGTGCTGTAGTTTGGCGATGCAGGCGACTTCGTTCTTGAACTCACGGGTCCCCTGTCTCGACTTCTTCGACAGCCTCTTTACTGCAATCACTTGTCCATTTTTCAGGGTGCCCTGAAGTAATGAGCAAAATTCATATCAAACGGTGTCATGGATTTTCAATCTGCAAAAAAATTTATGGCTAAGATTAGTTGTTTCATTTGGTATACCTTATAAACTGGTCCATAACCGCCTTGGCCGAGCTTGTTGTTTATCGAGAAGTAGTTGGTCGCATCAGCAATTGCATTAAAGTGGAACAATGGTAGCTCTAGATCTCTGTTCCTGCCTTCATGACTTTGCTCTTCATCATATTCTTCGTCGTCCTCGTCTTCTTCGTCCTCACTTTCTTCTTCTGAACTCTGTGGCATACTTGCTGCATAATGAGAACCAGAATGCAGAATAGTAATTAGCATGGCAGACCTACAATCAGAGTACAGTAAGAGCAACAAGTACTGATATTTTACTGTTACTTGTGTAACAAGGCAACTCTGATACCAGTTTTCTTTCCAGTGGGTACCTTGTATTCTAAGCTGTTTCTTCCTCCTTCTGATTCTCAGAACTACACAGAGAAGTAGTAGAATGAATGCCATCACCGATATCGGGATGACTATGATCCGAACTCGTTTGTTCCCATTCGATCGTTCGTATCTGTCTGCAGCACAAAACCAGTTGATTCATAGATATATCAAAACTGAAAAGATGACAGATTTTGCAGAAAGAATGGACATACACATACCCATTTCGGAGGCGGCCAATCTGATGTAAACATCCTGACCATTGTTATCGTCGTACTGCCGAATATCAACCAAGTCACCAAACCACAAGATGCACCCACTCCCACCATTCCTAACATCCAGATTCGCGTAAGCCGTGCAAGAGCAATTCCCCCTGCATTTCCTCTCACAATCCCTGAGCTCCATGCTGCCATTATACCAAGACTGCCTAGTATCCGGCAGCTTGATGCCAGAATACTTCACAAACCCTTCACCACTGCTGCAATCCAACGCCACCTCTCTACCACACCCATTCGACCAATCCGCCGCGCTCCATTCCTCTGCGAATTTCGGCACAAACCTCGTCAAGCACGCACACGCCGGCGAATTGTCGATGTCGCAGATCCCATTCGGCCCGCACAGCCCAAACCTGTCGCAGTTGTCGGTGTGAGCCGTCAAGTAGAGGTTCCATTCACCAGTCCTCTCCACCCAGATGAATCGCTGCAAGTTGCCTTCAGGGGTCAACACCATCCTCGTAACCACCGAGCTGTTGATAAGCTGGTAGCGATAGAACATCTCGTTCTCGTTGGAGACGAACTCGTAAGTGTAGATTGGATTGGGTTTCAGATTGATCATCCCGCCGAATTGCTTCCCGTTCCACGAACCGGACCTGAACTCGATGACCGAGCTTCTTCTTGTCAAGAAGAACTGCGGTACTCCACTGGGATCCAGGGTGTTGGCGTAATCGCCAACAGCTGGATCGGTAGCTGTCCTCCACGAAGTTAGGGCTCGATTGAGCCCCAATTTGAAGTCGATGCCGTACTTCATCCCTGGCAAGAATGTGTCACCTGGGTAATCGAAGCTCTGCCATAGAAACGTTTCGGAGTTCCCGTCTCGGATGACGAGGTTCCCCGTTTCCAGAAGCTGGGCGACTGGCCTTATCGGTGCTGTTCCTGTCAAATTCGTTGACCAGGTGATGTTGCCGTTGCCGCCGCCGCCGGCGGCGAGAACGGCGAGATTCCTCCCGCCGTCGATGAATCTCAGGACGGCTCCTTCGGAGCCGTTGAGAGGGGCGCCTCTGTTTCCGACCCAGACGACGGTGGAGGTGGAGATCTTCTTGTACCATATTCCGAGGTAGCGATTCTGTGTAGTGGGCGGGGTGAAGAAGCCCAGCTCGAAGGTGCCGCCGGAGGAAAGTAATGTGGATCCGGGTTGGAGCGATTGAGTCGCATTGATGGAATCCACGGCTGTGGAATTGGGGAAGAGAAGAGACAAGAGGAAGAAGACGAGAAAGAGCTGCATTGTTGTTGCAGCACAGCTCAGATTGCCCATTTCGGAAAATTTCTTATCAGACTAAACCTTGCATGAAGTAGGTAGAGACCAAATCAAAGGAAAAGGAAAGATCTTTGGTGGGTAGCTTCGGCCTCCTTTTTTTGTTTTTTTTTTTTTGTTTTAGTGGATTCACACTCCATCCTGTAAAGAAAAGTCAATCCTTTGACTTTGTGGGTGGAGGAAGAAGAAGAAGGAGATCACACCAGTTCATTGGTTGAAAGATTATGACAATTGGCCTAAAGATTTTGTCCGTAGAATTTTTTTTTTTTTTTTTGGTGGATGTCCGTAGAATTTTTAATTACTAAAAGTAATTTTCTGCAGAATTTTCTGCACGACTCTTTATTAAAGTAATTTTCTGCACAATACCCAAGCCCAAGGCCTGTATCTAATTAGTCGGGCCCGTCCAAATCTCCATGATTTGCCCGTCCAAGCCCATGTCCGTCTAAGCCCATCATGTTTTCGTTTCTGTTTAACTTCTTAGAGGTGAGTTTCAGTTACCATTTACCAAGCGGCAGCGGCAGCCGGAGCCAGAAGGGATCGCCGGCGTCTTTTTTATAGTGTGATTAGGAGTAGAGATTGGGGTTTCACGATAACGATTCATGGACCAGGAGACATAGAGAAGGGATCAGAGATTCTCTGAATTGAGTGGGATAGAGGGTAGAGCCTAAAGTAAGCGGAATACAACAAGGGTTGAGGAAGCTGAGAGAGAAACAAAGCGCCGCCGTCGTTAAGGCTAGATCACCACCGCCGACACGATAGAAGTAACGGATTCAGAGAATGGGAATAAGGCATTTTTTTCTAATGACAATGTAAGCCGCGATTCTCCTTTCTGTTTTATTTGTGCTAAGCATGAGCTTTTTTCCAATTATCACCTAGCGACCAACGATGTCAATGTTGCTTCATTAACAGAGTGCGGGTTGTTCTTGCTCGATGAGCTGGTATCTCTATTATCAAATGGGTTTCTCGCTGTGAAAAACCCAGGCTGTTTAGGATCCGGGAGTGGATCCGAGCTGCCTAGCATTAGAACAACGAGTGATATGGTTGGCCGGTCTTCTGGTCTTTGTTGCACGCATAGTAGAGCTACTTGAATGCTTCTTAGTTCGAGAATTGACACAGGATTCCAGCTGACATTCGTCGACTAGTTCTAGAGCTGCTCCTTTCATCCATAGTGCCCATGCCTGTTTAGTACATGATCAGTAGACAATAGGGGAAAACTCTTAAGGAATGAAGGGGATAAATTTTATAATGTTTGAGAGCTTACATGGCCCAGAAGGTTAAGTTCATGGTCAGGATGTTGAAATCCTCTGTTTCTTTTCCCAGTTATTATCTCCAGGACTAAAACCCCAAAGCTGAAAATATCAGATTTCACCGAGAAAACCCCTTCTATGGCATACTCCGGAGACATATAGCCACTGTAAAGGTCAAACACAGACATGTACATGTTTTAGCAGTTAGGAATAGATCTAACCAAAATAGATAGCACTTTAAGTTGGCAAAACTGAATAATGCTTACTGTGTCCCGACTATTCTATTTGTGTTGGCCTGCGTTTGATCTGCACCAAACGTTTTCGCAAGGCCAAAGTCAGATATTTTTGGTTTCATGTCATTATCCAGTAGAATGTTGCTGGCTTTGAGATCCCTGTGGATGATTCTGAGCCTCGAGTCCTGGTGAAGGTATAGAAGACCTCGAGCTATTCCATCTATGATTTGGATCCTCTTCTGCCAATCTAGCATCTTGGATCTTGATTTATCTGAGAATGGCATTCATTCAAGTAAGTAACAACGACTAGCGAACACATGAACGTCTCCATATATATAAGCCAACAAAAGTGCAATTTATGGTCATTTCTTACCAAAAATTGTTGAGTCTAAGCTATTGTTAGGCATATATTCATAGATCAACATCTTTTCATCCTTGCGAATGTAACAACCGAGAAGCTTTACAAGATTGCGGTGCTGAAGTTTTGAAAACAATATGACTTCGTTTTTGAACTCGTTCAATCCTTGGCCAGAGCTCTTGGATAGCCTCTTTACCGCTATTTCTTGCCCTTCTTTTAATGTTCCCTGCATATATATATCTTCATTTTTCGGGTTGTTTATTACATGGACTTTGTTTGTTGCAGAGATAGTGTTAATGTTACCCTGTAGACAGGTCCAAAGCCACCTTCTCCAAGCTTGTTGCTGTCTGAAAAGTTGTTGGTTGCAGCTGCTACTGTGTCCAGTTCAAATATTGGTAAGTCCATATCTCCTTCTGCTTTTGCTGAAATCGTTGATATCTATAAGCGTGGCAGAATATTCAGAAAACTTATAAATTTTTTCTGATTAATTTACCTTTTATCATGAGTTCTCTTTTCCTTTTGATGAAGCAGCCTATTGCTAATGCCACCATGATCAGAAATAGTACCACAACCGAAATGGAAACTGTCATTGTCCTCTTCTTCTCATTTGAAGCCTGTTTCTCTCCATATTCATCTGAAAGAAACAAGATATTGGCTCGAGAAAGAAATTGCAGCATGCAGTATGGAGTTCTGGGAGTTTCATACATACCTACTTCCGAAGCAGCTACCTTTACATAGAGGTTTTGTCCACCCTCAGCTAATCCTCTTATATCAATCAGATCGCCAAACCATCTCAAGCAGCCACTTCCGCCATTCCTGATGTCTAAACTTGCATATGCGGTGCATGAACAGTTGCCCAAGCACAAACCTGCGCATTCTGTTAGACTCGTGTTCCTGTTGTATGAGCTCGAAGATGTGTCTGGCACTTTAATTCCTGCGTACTTCAGAAACCCATCGTTCCTATTGCAATCAAGTGGTGTCCTCCTAACGCAACCATCAGACCATGTTGTGTAATTCCAATCTGCAGGAGATTTCGGCAGAAACCCATTCAAGCAAGAGCATATGGTAGATGTGTACACTTGACATCCAGCAAATGCACCACAGAGAGCATAATTCTCGCACTGATCCACTTGTGCTGTAGCAGTAATCATCCAGTCGTTCATTTGATCGTTCCACGTGTACCGCTGGAGAAGGCGCGAGGGATATATTGTATATCTTGTCAGAGGTGAGTTGTCAGTGGTTTCGAACTTGAGATATACCTCATCTGAGTTCAACACAAACTCAAAGGTGAAAGTTGGGGTTTGCTGTAGTCCAGGAAGCCCTGTAAACCGCTCGCCATTCCATGATCCTACTCTGAACAAAGTTCTATTTCCCCTCATCACCAATAGCTGTGCATAACCTCGAGCGTTTATCTCCAAAGTATATTCTCCCTTGGCAGGATCTTCGGTGCTCTTCCAAGATGTTAGAGGCTTGTCCAGGCCCTTCACCAAGTCCTTCCCTACCTTCATCCCTGGAAGCATTGTGTCACCAGGGTGATCAAAGCTCTGTCACAGGAAGTTGTCAGCAGCAGCAGTGTCATTCTTCTGTAGGGAGTCGAGCACAAGATTCCCTGAATCCAGGAGCTGCACCACTGGAGATTGCGGAGATGATGAATTGGAAGACCAGACAAGAGTCTGGTTCCCATCGAAGAGTGTCAGGTTTCCTTGACTGGTGAGATTTACAACTCCCAGAGTGTCTTGTATAGGTGTTTCTCTGTTGGCTACCCATACAACCGTCTGAGGAGTAATGTTTGTATACCATATTCCGAGGTACCGGTTTCTTGAATTCACGGAGCTGAAAAATCCCAGCTCGAATCTTCCCCTTCCTGCTGAAACTAGAGTAGTATCACCATCCCTCAGTGGCTGGCCTGGATTAATGGTATCTTTGGCATTGCAGCAGGTTATTGAGAAGCATAATATGAATGCGCAGGCAACCAATGCTAGACCTGCCATGATTTGAGGGCTTCTCGGTGGCTCAACTGATCCTAGTTCATAGAAATATTATATGAACACGTATGAGACAGAGCAAATGTCTGGTTGTGGTGGGAAATTAAAGTGGGGCCGCCAAGTCGTTGAATTCTTATACACATTCAACGAAAAGGTAACATTTCTAGGAAGCTGATCTCCTAGAAAACAAGCGTGATTCCACCAACTTCCTTGCCTCTCCATCACTCAACCTCATCTTATTGGACATTTTTGACAGTTGCTGCTACATCTTTTCTTGATATTATATGTTGTATTTTCTAAATGAAGACGTTCATGTTATATAATAGTCATGGTAGAAGTTTCAACGTGCTGTCAAAATCACTAGAAACAGATTGATAAAAAGGGAAAAGAAGAAACCATTACAAACAGGGAAATGTCCACCAATTATCAGTCTTACTTTTCTAAATATAGTATCTTTCTGTGGAAACGTTGACCACCACACCAGACTTATATCAAGAAGCCAGGGTTTCAAAACACAAACCTACACAAATTATAAAACGGGATACTACTATGAAGAATTCCCGTTCACATAGATTGGATTGTTAATTGCTTACAGACATAGAATCTGAAGATTATGTTTATGCTTCAAGTTCTTGAGTGCAATTCATTTGCTGCAGGTAGTATTGTACACATTTCAGATATTTGATAGCTGTTGGAGTTGACAAACATTTGATGCCTGGCTAATATGTTTATGCTTGATGCATTGTTCTCTCCAGACCAAAGCTGGCCTACCTAGCATCTAGCTTCGAGATTGCAACTTCATTCACCGATGCTGAATGATGCTTATTATCTGAAGTTGAAGTCTCTGAATCAGGCAAATTACTCTCAGTGAAAAAGCCAGGCTGCATCGTTGAGGCAGCAGAGTCTCACTGGTCAACATCAGAACCGCAGATAACATGCCAGGCCCACCATGTCTCCATCTCTGTATGACTGTATGGGTAAAATAATAATAATGGAAAAAGACATCTCGGGTGAGTTTCATACTTTCAGACTTTCAGTTACGAAACGGAAGCGGCAACGGCAGCCGGATGGGGTTGCCGGCTGGGTTTTATCTCATTAGGAGTAGAGATTGGGGTATCACACGATCATGGTATATTGGACGAGGAGACAGGGAGCCTAAGGGAAGAATACAAGAACGGTCATTAAGGAAACTGAGAGAGAAGGAAAGCGCATTCGCCGTCGAGGCTACATCACTTCCACCTCGATAGGGATATCGAATTTAGGGGATGGAATTAAGCCTTGGATTTTGAAATGTAAGTTGGAATTCTACTTTCTATTCGATGCATCTCAATTCGCATTCAAAACGGCATTTTACTGTGGGATGAACTTTCCCTGTTATCATCTAGCGGCCAACAATGTCACAGTTACTTCATTTACTGAGTGCGAGTCGTTCTTGCTTGATGAACTGTCCCCTTTATCGAATGGGTTCCTTGCTGTGAAAAACCCAGGCTGTTTAGGTTCCGGCAGTGGATCCGCACTGCCTAGCATTAGAACAACCAGGGATATATTTGGCCGGTCTTCTGGTCTTTGTTGCACGCACAGTAGAGCTACTTGAATGCATCTTAATGCTTGAGAATGAGCACAGGATTCCATCAGACATTCGTCGACTAGTTTTAGAGCTGCTCCTTTCATCAATAGTGCCCATGCCTGTCGAAAAAATGAGCAATATACAATAAGGAAAAACTCTTTAGGCGTGCAAGGGGAAAACTTGTATGGTTTATGAGAGCTTACATGGCCCAGAAGGTTAAGCTCATGGTCAGGATGTTGAAATCCTCTGTTTCTTTTCCCAGTTATTATCTCCAGGACTAAAACCCCGAAGCTGAAAATATCAGATTTCACCGAGAAAACCCCGTCTATGGCATACTCCGGAGACATATAGCCACTGTAAACACCAAACCCAGACATGCACATTTTTTAGCTGCTTGGGAATATAGCTCAAACCAAAAGGGATGGTGGCAAAAGTGAACGATGCTTACTGTGTCCCGACTATTCTATTAGTGTTGGCCTCTGTTTGATCTGCACCAAATGTTTTTGCAAGGCCAAAATCAGATATTTTGGGATGCATTTCCTTATCCAGTAGAATGTTGCTTGCTTTGAGATCCCTGTGGATGATTCTGAGTCTTGAGTCCTGGTGAAGGTAAAGAAGACCTCGAGCTATTCCATCTATGATTTGGATCCGCTGTTGCCAATCTAGCAGCTTGGATCTAGATTTGTCTGAGAAAAGCCTTCATTCAAGTTAGTACGAAGAACTGGGGAACTCAAGAACAACTCCATATATATGCCAAGAAAAGTGCATTTTCGGTCATTGTTCTTACCAAAAATTATCGAGTCTAAGCTTTTGTTAGGCATGTATTCATAGATCAACATCTTTTCATCTTCACGAATGCAACAACCGAGAAGCTTTACAAGATTACGATGCTGGAGTTTAGAAAACAATATGACTTCATTTTTGAACTCATTCAATCCTTGGCCAGAGCTCTTGGAGAGCCTCTTCACTGCTATTCCTTGCCCTTCTTGTAATGTGCCCTGTATATATATCTTCATTTTTCATGCTGTTTTTCAAAGTTGTTAGATCGAATTGTCTGTTTGAAAGATAATGTTAATGTTACCTTGTACACAGGACCAAAGCCACCTTCTCCAAGCTTGTTGCTGATTGAAAAGTCATTGGTTGCAGCTGCTACTGTATCCAGTTCAAATATTGGTAAGTCCACATCTCCTTTGTTGTCATCATTATTCCTTACGATCAATCCTTCTGCTCTTGCTGAAAACATAGATCATTATCAGTGTGACACAAGAAATTCTAGACTTTGAGCCTTGCTTGTTCAGAGAAGTTAAACAGACTTCTCATTGATTTACCTTTCATCCTGAGTTCTCTTTTCCTTTTGATGATGCAGCCTATTGTTAGTGCTACCATGCTCAGAAATAGTATCACAGCCGAGATGGCAATTATCACTGTCCTTTTCTTCTCATTCGAAGGCTGTTTTTTTCCAAATTCAGCTGAAAGAAACAAACTATTGGTTCCCGCAAGAAATTGTAGCATGCAAAATATTGTACTGGGAGCGACATACATACCTACTTCTGAAGCAGCTACCTTTACATAGAGATCTTGCCCACCCGCAGCTAATCCTCTTATATCAATCAGATCACCAAACCATCTCAAACAGCCACTCCCACCGTTCCTGATGTCTAAACTTGCATATGCTGTGCAAGAGCAGTTACCCGAACACAAACCAGCACATTCTGCAAGACCCATGTTTCTGATGTATGAGCTCGATGATGTGTCTGGCACTTTGATTCCTTCATACTTCAGAAACCCATCGTTTCTACTGCAATCAAGTGGTGTCCTCCGAACGCACCCATCAGACCAGTTTGTTGAATTCCAATCTGCTGGTGATTTTGGCACAAACCCATTCAAGCACGAGCATATCGGAGATCTGTACACTTGGCAGCCAGCAAATGCACCACAGAGAGCATAGTTCTCGCACTGATCCACCTGCGCTGTAGCCGTAACCATCCAGTCGTTCGTTTGATCGTTCCATATGTATCGCTGGAGAAGGCCCGAGGGATATATTGTATACCTCATCAGAGGTGAATTGTCAGTGGTTTCAAACTTGAAATACACCTCGTTTGAGTTCAACACAAACTGGAACGTGAAAGTTGGGGTTTGCTGTAGGGCAGGAAGCCCTGTAAACCGCTCGCCATTCCATGACCCTACTCTGAACAAAGTTCTATTTCCCCTCATCACCAATAGCTGTGCATAACCTCGAGCATTTATCTCCAAAGTATATTCTCCCTTGGCAGGATCTTCGGTGCTCTTCCAAGATGTCAGAGGCTTGTCCAGACCATTCACCAAGTCCTTCCCTGTCTTCATCCCTGGAATCAATGTATCACAAGGATGATCAAAGCTCTGCCACAGGAAATTCTCATCAGAACCAGTGTCATTATCCAGGGAATCTTTCACTACGAGATTCCCAGAATCCAGGAGCTGTGCAACTGGAGATTGCAGAGATATTCCTGATGAATTGGAAGACCAGACAAGAGTCTGGTTCCCATCAAAGAGAGTCAGGTTTCCCTGACTGGTGAGATTTACAGCTCCCTGAGTGTCTGGTATAGGTGTTTCTCTATTGGCTACCCATACAACCGTCTGAGGAGTAATGTTTGTGTACCATATTCCTAGGTACCGGTTTCTTGAATTCACGGGGCTGAAAAATCCCAACTCGAATCTTCCCTTTCCTTCTGAAACTAGAGTAGTATCACCATCCTTCAGTTGCTGGCCTGGACTAATGGTATCTTTGGCACTGCAACAGGTTATTGAGAAGCAGGATATGAAGGCGCAGGCAAGCACTGCTAGACCTGCCATGATAGGAGGGCTTCTCTGTGGCTCAACTGATGAAGTTCAGAGAAATATTATATGACTGTGCAAGATAGAGAATAAATGTCTGGTGGTGGTGGGAAATTAAGTGGGGCCGCCAAGTCGTTGAATTCTTATATGCATGCAACGAAAAGGTGACATGCTAAAAAATAATTGTGAGTTCACCAATTTCCTTGCCCTCTCCGTCACTCAACCTTATGTTATTGGGCAGTTTTGACAGTTACTATTCCATTTTTTCTTGATATTTTGTGTTTGTATTAGTCAATGAAGACGTTCATGGTGGCATAACAGTCATGGTAGAAGTTTCAACTTGCTGTCAAAATCACTACAAACAAATTGTTAAAAATGTGGGAAAAGTAACCTGTAGAAACAGGGGAGGGGAAATGTCCAATTTTCATAGGTATATTTTTTCTAGATGTCTGTCTGTGAAATTGGTGACTAAACACATGACTTCATGAATTGACTATCACTCCAAACTTATATTCAGATGCCAGAAGCCTCTTTTTCCAAATTAGAAAATGAGATACTTGTAACAAAAATTTCTGCTGATATTGACCGGATTGTTAATCGTTTACAGATGTCGAATCTGAAGATTATGTTTATGCGTCAAGCTCTTGACCCATTGCTGTGCATTTCATTTGCTGCAAGCACCAGCTATACACGTTTGAGATATTTTATAGCTGTTGGAGTTGGCAAATGATTGAGGCACGACTATTATGTCTATGCTTGTTGCAGTCCTCTCTCCAGACCAAAGCTCGCCTACCTGGCGTCTAGCAGCGAGATTGTAACTTCATTCACCGATGCAGAATTATGCTTATTATCTGAGGTCGAACTCTCCGAATCGGGCAAATTCCTCTCAGTGAAAAACCCAGGCTGCTTCGGCTGAGGCAGCAAAGTCTCACTGGTCAACATCACAACCACAGATGACATGCTAGGCCTGTCATCCGGTCGTTGTTGAACGCATAGCAACCCTACTTGAATGCATCGTAATACTTGAGTTGTAGTAGAAAGTTCATCATCCACAATTTCCTCTTCCACTAGCTCAATTGGCTTCCCTTCAATCCACAACCTCCAAGCCTGAATACACAACAGAGAATGTCAGAAGCCGGCTTTACTTGTATACAATTGCACTTTGTATTCTCATTGTTCTCGTCTTACATGGCCAAGAAGGTTGAGGTTGTGATCTTGGTGGGAAAACCCTCTGTTCCTCTTCCCACTAATGATCTCAAGCAATAGAACTCCAAAACTAAACACATCGGATTTCATTGAGAAAAGGCCATCAATAGCATATTCTGGAGACATGTAGCCACTGCAAATATATAGCAGCAATGGTTAGAAAACATCAAGGAGAGACTAAAACAAGAGGTACGCAATATATATTGTTGTTACTTACTATGTGCCAACAACTTTACTGGTGTTTGCTTCAATTTGGTCACCACCAAATATTCTGGCCATGCCGAAGTCTGAAATTTTAGGGTTCATATCCTTGTCTAGCAACACATTGCTGGCTTTTAGATCTCTGTGGATAATCCTTAGCCTAGAATCCTGATGGAGGTATAAAAGCCCCCTTGCAATTCCATTAACAATGGCTATCCTCATGTTCCAGTCAAGGGACTTGCTCTTTGTTTTATCTGATGAAATTTAGTTTAGACTTTGATCATCATATTCATAATTAAGTCTAGTGCACGAAATATTGCTGGAAAACTGGACTGAAGGTAGTTAAAGAGAGATTATCATACCGAAAATGAAGAAATCCAAGCTTTTGTTGGGCATGAACTCATAGATCAACATCTTCTCATCTCCTTCGATGCAACACCCTAGGAGTTTCACGAGATTTCTGTGCTGGAGTTTCGCGATCAAAACAACTTCATTTTTGAACTCTGTTGTTCCTTGTCCAGAACTCTTTGATAGGGTTTTCACAGCAATTTCCTGCCCATCTGCTAATGTTCCCTGCAAATTCTCATTTCTGTCAAATCATGCATATATCCATATATCCAATTACTAGGTGATTGTTTCTATAAGCATATTATTCCATCATTCTACCTTGTAAACAGGTCCATATCCTCCTTGCCCTAATTTGTTCTCCGTCGAGAAATTATCAGTAGCTTTCACCATAGTCGCCCTGTCAAATATATGCAACTCCATTTCAGAATCCTCTCCCCCTTCTTCGTTCCCACCATCCCGTCTGAAAATACTTGCTCCTCTCATTCCTGAAAAGATGGATAACTAATTGTTATACGACGATAAAAACTAAACATCCCAAACTCTAAAAGATTAAACATCCCAAACCTAGACTTCTTTGTCTCCGATGCCATAAAACCAGAACGAGGACTGTTCCAGCCAATCCTGCTAACCCGACTGAGCTGGCTACAATGGCCACTAAGTTCTTACCACCAGAATCTACGCATAAAAACAAGTTAATTGGCCAGCAAGCTACTCACAACAACAACAACAACAACAACAAAAAAGCATCTGCAAAATTTTCTGTAGAAGTACTTAATGTTGCTGGTGATTTTGGTACTGCAGCAGACAATCTGACGAAGAGCTCTTGACCTCCACTATCGTATTGCCTCATATCAACTAGCTCACCAAACCACATCAAGCACCCACCATCAGCTTTTGTAATATCAGCATCCGCATATGCCATACATGAGCAATTCCGCAAGCAAACTTCCTGACATTCCCCGAGACTCCGGATCTCACTAAACCACGAGGAAGTAGATGTGTCTGGCAACTTAACCCTAGTGTAGTTCCAGAAGTACTCGTTTTCGCAATTCAATGGCACCTTCCTTGCACACCCTTTGCTCTGGTTTTCGGGATCTATCAATTCAAATTCGTCGAGGCAGTCACAAGTTGGGGGACTGTTCTCCTCCATATTGCAGGTCATATGTGCTCCACAGTTTCCATACAGGTCGCATTGATCCATTGGAGCTCCGTACAAGCTTGTCCACTCGCTTCTTCCTTGGGAGCGTGCGTAACGCTGCAGGAACCCTGTTTGGTTCAACACCAGTCTCGAGAGCAGGGCAGATTTGACATTGTAAGTATAGTAAACGTCGGTCTTGTTCATCACGAACTCGTATTCGAAGATGTTGTTTTCCGGAAGCAGGGGAGTCCCCGTGAAGTACTTCCCATTCCATGAACCCAATCTGTAGCGATTTTCTTCCCCGTTTTTCAAGATCAGCTGTGGGTATCCACGAGGGTCGATCGACATTGAAAATCGACCTTCATCGGGATCCTGATCAGTCTTCCAGGATGTCAAGAATGTTTGCTTACCGGTCGCAAAATTGGACCTGATTTTCATTCCTGGAAGCAGTGTGTTTGATGGGTGATCGAAGCTCTGCCACAGAATGCCGACTCTGTTTCCATCTATCACGACCAAGTTGCCGGAATCGAGAAGCTGTAAAGTTGGGTTGGGGGTGGCTGCTTGTGATGGATTGCCGTTGTTGGAGGTCCAAATTGTTTTGTTTTGGTTATTCAGAAGTACCAAAATGCCAGTGGGAGAGAGAGAGAGAGCTCCAGAGGTGTCGGAGAGGGAAGCATTTCGGTTGGCTACCCAGACAACTTCTTTGGCTGGAGCATTGTGATACCATATTCCTAAGTACCGGTTGTTGGAGCTGCCTCCTGCTGTTCCAGGGGTGAAAAATCCCAGCTCGAAGGTTTTATCTGGTGAAACCAGAGTCTGGTTTTGGGAATCTCTGAGGAATTGGCCAGGAATAAGGACAGTTGAACTATTTTCTGAAGTAACTAAAATCAGAGCAAAGAGAAAGAAGCAGAAGTGAAGAGTAACCCTTCTTTTGAAGCTTAAGGTTGTCTTTGCCATGTTTCCAGCGGAAACAGGGGAGCTGGACTATACATGTAGCAGCAAGAAAGAGAGGGAAGATCAATCAATGGTGGACGACTAAGAACTTAGAAGGCGGTGTTTAAATTGGTTCCAAATGTTATGGCAGCAAGGCCAGACTCTGTTCTGCAACTGCAACTGAGAAAGGCAAGTTCATGGACAGGTTTGGCCCGTTCAACCAGACTTATTCAATGTCGAATTAATGGTCGTGGCCCATGAATCGGATAGTTTCCTGGCAATTGGGACCTCCAGTCTGTTCGACTAGTTTTGGTTGCAACACTAATAACTCCGGCAACTACATCTATACTGGTACTGTAGCTGCTAGATATTCAGTCTGGTGGTCTGAGTATTGAAATTTCTTCTCTCGGTGACAGTCAGTCAACAAGAGAACGGTTAGATAACAACGAAGTATTATCGAGATTTTGATATTTGCGATTTCGATTATGAGTGCGACCTGCTATGCACAATAGAATCCACTTATGATAATGAGAGAGGATTCCTTCTATAAGGTAGAACAGAGGCAAAATTTGAATGAGAAAATATATGCATCACCGCGGCTCCATTACTGTTAGGGAGACTTGATTAGCAGAGTAAGAATCATTGTTGTTGTTAGAGGAAGAAGACTCTGCCTCCGGTGGATTTCGTCTGAGGTAAAACCCAGGCAGCTTGGGCTGTGGCAGAGTATTCTCGCTGCCCAGCATCAGCACCACAGCTGACATGTTTGGCCTGTCGTCGGGTTTCTGTTGCACGCACAGCAACGCTACGTGGATGCATCTCAGCACTTCTGATTGATTGCAGCTCTCCTTCATCGAGTCGTCTATCAGCTGCAGCGCCGCACCTTCGTTCCACAGCGTCCATGACTGGACAAGCACACGATACCACCAGGTTCATTATAGCCAGGTTCTAATAGAAGCTTGTGACGAAATTAGCTATAACTATGCAGCGAAAGGACTTACATGGCCCAAGAGGTTGAGGTCGTGGTCAGTGTGGGCGAATCCTCTGTTCCTCCTACCGCTCACTATCTCAAGAACCAAAACTCCGAAGCTAAATACGTCGGACTTGACAGAGAAGAGACCATCAACTGCATATTCCGGAGACATATAGCCGCTGCAGAAGAACATCAACAGCCAGGATGAGGTGATGATCAGTTATGTCACTCACATTCAGGTTAGAGCCAAATGGTGAAAAAAGGATGAGGTCCAACCCCTGCCACATCCATGAAAAATTTGCATTTTAGATAGTGCAGTACTTACAACGTGCCAACGACCTTATTTGTTTCGCACTCTGTTTGATCTCTTCCAAATGTCCTCGCAAGACCGAAGTCCGATATCTTAGGTTGCATCTCGCTGTCCAGCAATATATTACTGGCTTTCAGATCTCGATGAATGATTCTCAACCTGGAGTCCTGGTGAAGGTAAAGCAAGCCTCGAGCAATCCCGTCTATGATTATCGCCCGCTTTTGCCAGTTCAATAGTTTTCTTTGCTTCTCATCTAATAATCAACATATATGATTTCACAAACATTGTTGATACATCGATACTAAATATTATGAGCAACTTAATTGTATGTACTGGTTGGGAAATGGTAAGATAAAATCTCACCGAAAATGACGAAGTCCAAGCTTTTGTTGGACATGTATTCATAGATCAACATCTTCTCATCGCCAGGAATGCAACAACCCAACAACCGAACAAGGTTTCGGTGCTGGAGTTTGGAGAACAGAATGACTTCGTTCTTGAACTCACTGATCCCTTGTCCCGAGCTCTTTGACAATCTCTTCACCGCTATCTCTTGCCCTTCTGGAAGTTTCCCCTACACCTTCAAAAATCAGACCAAAGTCCAAACAACAGGAAACAGTTGAGAGTGAGAGTGATTCTTAGTGAATATTTACCATGTAGACGGGGCCAAATCCTCCTTCCCCGAGCTTATTGTCAATGGCGAAGTCATTTGTGGCCTTAACTATTGTGCTCAAACTGAATGTGGGCAGATCCATCTCTTCATTGTGCTCCTTCTGTGACATTGTGTGCATATCTTCACCAAAAGAACGGGTCAAACTAACAGCATTAGTATCACTTGGGATTGAAACGAATTGAACCAACTTATCAATGAACAGGGGAGGGAAATGCATATAGCAGGGGAATCCCTTACCTTTTTTCTTAAGTTTCCTTTCTCTCGCGCAGAACACAATGACCAAAATTGCCAAAAGAGCCACAGACGAAACCACTGAGGCGACCACGATGATCATTTTCCTCCTTTTCTTGGAACTCCCCTGCTCTTGAACCACTCCAATTTCCGATCCGGCCACCCTGACGTACAAATCCTGCCCACCGTCGGACAGTTCTCGAATGTCAATCAGATCATCGAACCACATCAAGCACCCGCTCCCGCCATTCCTTATGTCCAAGCTCGAATACCCGGTACATGAACAGTTCCCCAAGCACAACCTCCGACATTCCTCTAGCCCCATCGTCCGGTTCCAGAATGCCGTTGCAGTATTTGGCAGCTTGGCGTTTGAATGCAAGATAAATCCATCGCTCGAATTACAAGCCAGGGCAGTCCTCCTGACGCACCCACCTTCCCAATCCGACTGCTCCCAATCACTCGGGTTCCTCGGATCGAACCCGGTCAGACACTGACAGGCCGGGACCATGTAAGTGTAACAACTCGAGTATGTGCCACACAGACCATAGTTGTCACACCGGTCCCCCTGAGCCGAGTATATCACAATCCAATCGTTACTCCGTCTGCTCCACATCCACAACTGGAACAAACCCGTTGGAGAAACCACGTACCTCGACACGACCGTGCTGTTGGGCACATGGAACCTGAAGTAAATCTCCTCCCCCTCGTCGTACTCATACTCGAACGAGAAAGTCGGGCTCGAATTCAGGGTCGGAGCCCCGGTGAAACGGAGGCCGTTCCACGATCCGATTCGAGCCTGGATCGTGGAGCCCCTCCGCACCAACACCTGAGGGTAGCCTTGCATCTCGACCCCGACCCAAAATTCTCCCTCGCCCGGGTCCTCCACGCTCCTCCACGACATCAGGTTCCGGTCCAGACCGGATCTCAGATTTCTCCCCAATTTCATCCCCGGGAGCAGAGTATTGGTGAGAAAGTCGAAGCTCTGCCACAGGAAGTTATCCGGGTTCTCGTCGTTCGCGTCTCTGACAACCAAATTGCCGGAATCCAGGAGCTGGGCGACGACCCCAGTCGCCGGAGGCACTCTTCTGGTCACATTAGAGGACCAGACGGCGAGGTTGTTGCTCCGGCCGCCGTCGGAGAGGACGAGGATTCCTTCCCTGGTGAAGTTGAGGAACCCTCTGGTGTCGGAAATCGGAGATCCTCTGTTGGCTACCCATACGATCGTTTGAATTGACACCCTGTCGACGCCGTACCAGATTCCCAGGTACCGGCTGCTGGTATTTTCCGGCCGGAAGAATCCGAGCTGGAAGCTGCCGCCGGATGAGACGATGGACTGGCCGTCGGTTAGAGATTGGCCTGGCGCTAGACTATCTCGTTGTTGTTGTTGCGCAGTACTGGAAAAAGTTAGTAATATGGAACAGAAAAGGGAGAAGAGCACCTGAAAACTGGATCTTGTCATCGGCGGGAGCTTTTTTTTTGTTGGAGTTTCCCCTGTTCTTGAATCGGGCGTCCTCCTGACGACGCCTAGATGTGAAAAGTGGAATTGCTGCGCAAGATCAATCATAGAAATCAGAGAGGGGGAAGGAAGACTCCGTTGTGTTGACGAAACAGTAGCGAGTGGAGGAGAAGGGAATTTTTTGGCTATGGCGGGTCCAAAGCGAGTATGTCAGCGTGGAAACAGACGACTTTTCTGAGTTGGCCACATTTTCGTCGTCAGTCTTTGTTCAGCTGCATACACTTCCACAACCGCGTGGGAATGACTTTTTTTTTATGTTTTCGAATCAAACAATTATTGATCTACAATGTAATATACGGGATCCGGCTGATCGTACGAATCTAATATTTTTTATTATAAGAATAAAAAAAGAGAAATAAGGGGGAAAATAAAATAAGGAAGAGAGAGAGAGAGAGCGCAAATGTCTGGTGGAAAGTTTAAGTGGGGGCCACCAATCGAGGAATTGTTAATATCACGAAAAGGCGACATTTCCTGGAAGCTAACGTGACGCAGTGGCCGGCCGGCCATGCTAGAAAAGTAAATTTGAGTCCGCCGCCGGCAACTTCCTTAGCTTGCCTCACTCATGACTCCACCTTGACGCACATGGTGGGATAATTCATCCTAGTATAAAACGTGCAGTCAAAATCACTTCAAACAAATTATCATATAAAATAATCACTACAATACAACCAAATTGATGATAAAAATAAGAGGAGAAAGTCGATACAAGGGAGGAAATGTCAATGCCGTTTCGTACGTCATTTCCAAACTCTGTTCTGCAACTGCAACTGGAAATGGCAAAGTTGTTTACTTGTTTTTGAATATGTTATGATGATATATAAATGGGCCCTCATTTGGGCTCAGGTGGCCCATTCAACCCAACTTATAAATGCATACGAATAGGAATGGCAATGGGGCAGGTCCGGGGCGGGTTTCTTGGTAACCAGACCCGCCCCGTTGCAGGGCGGATCCAGGTTGGGTAATTGATCACGGGTCGTGGGTCGGGGCAGGTCGACCCAATGGGTATGCAATTTATTTGAAAAACATTAGAAAGATTCGTTATTTTTATTATAAAACTAAGAAAATAAACAATATTATGACAATTGTAGTTAAATTATTGGAGAAATTGAGGTTTTCACTAATTTACAACTTTATTATAGCTAAATTATGATGCGATAAAAGTAAAATTCAAAGTAATTTGACTAAGATTTCATGTAATTTAGACACAAACGGGTCGAGAATGAGGCGGGTCAGGGCAGGTCGGATCGATGAGACTACCACCCGGCTCAAAACAGGTCAAACAGGTCGGGTAAAACGAGTCAGGTCGAAATTGTCATCCCTACATACGAATTAATGACCGTGGCCCATGAATTGGACATTGCCCTCATTCCCGTCGCTTGGGCTCCTCCGGCCTGTTGCAACTACATCCCCCCACACGTGTGCCTCACATAATGACAATTCAGCAACAAAATGGTGCACTCACTCACTTACTCCGCTTACAACGGTCCCTCCAGCGACATCCGATAAAATTGGAACGATACACATTACAATTTACAACTGATCCAACAAAAATAAGAAATTCTAAAGTACAAAATTTTCAAACTGACATGATGACATCAAGAATCTTTTAATTACCGAGGCTCCAACACTGTTAGAGAAATTTGATTATTACTGTTAGGGGAACACATTGGGTCGGCCGCCTCAGGCGGATTCCTTCGAAGGTAGAACCCAGGCAGGTTGGGCCGGGGCAGAGGATTCTCGCTGCCCAACATCAGCACCACGGCCGACATGTTGGGCCTGTCGTCGGGCTTCTGTTGCACGCACAACAACGCCACGTGGATGCACCTCGACGCTTCTGATTGGTTGCAGCTCTCTTTCATTGAGTCGTCGATCAGATCCAGCGCCACGCCTTCGCTCCACAACGTCCATGCCTGGATCATGCATGCACGTACACGACAAACACCAAGTTCATTACAAGACATGAGGAAATTAGTTGCAGCTATATATACAGTTGAAATTAAAGGGACTTACGTGGCCTAAGAGATTGAGGTCGTGGTCGGAGTGGTAGAATCCTCTGTTCTTGCTACCGCTCACTATCTCAAGAACCATGACTCCGAAGCTGAAAACGTCTGACTTGACCGAGAACAGACCGTCCACCGCGTATTCTGGAGACATATAACCGCTGAAGAACATCGTGAACAACGAGGAGAAGATGGTGAGTTATGTCAAGTCACTCACGTTCAGGTGTTATTAGAACCCGAGAGTGAAAAGGAAAAAAATTGATTGGTCCAACTGTATCCATGTAATTTTTTGTTTGTATTTAAGATGGTGTAGTATGTACTTACTACGTGCCCACGACCTTTTTTGTTTGCCCTTCTGTTTGATCTCCTCCAAATGCCTTGGCGAGGCCAAAGTCCGAAATCTTAGGCTTCATCTCCTTGTCTAACAATACGTTACTGGCTTTCAGATCTCGATGGATGATTCTTAACCTGGAGTCCTGGTGAAGGTAAAGCAGGCCTCGAGCAATCCCGTCTATGATTATCGTCCGTTTCTGCCAGTTCAACAGTTTCTTTTGCGTCTCGTCTAATCAACAAGACGAGATTTCACTAACATTTGTTAGTACATTAGTACTTATAATATTATGAACAACTTAGTACCACGCGTAAGTGCATGGATATTCGTAAGACGATTTCTCACCGAAAATGAAGAAGTCCAGGCTTTTGTTAGACATGTATTCATAGATCAGCATCTTCTCATCTTCGTGAATGCAGCATCCCAACAGCCGGACAAGGTTTCGGTGTTGGAGCTTGGAGAACAGAATGACTTCGTTCATGAACTCATTGAGCCCTTGTCCGGAGCTTCTCGACAATCTCTTCACTGCTATTTCCTGTCCTTCAGGAAGTTTCCCCTGCAACGTACGTACCAAGCAAGGTATCATGTCAAAGACCAACAATTGGGAAAATGTTGAGAGAGTGATTCTTACTGAAATGTTTACCATGTAGACAGGTCCGAATCCACCTTCTCCAAGCTTATTGTCGTTGGAGAAGTCATTTGTGGCCATAACTATTGTGCTCAAATTGAATGCGGGTAGCTCCATCTCTTCATTGCGCATTCCTTCACAAATAGAATGGGTCGAAGTAACAAAATTACTTAATTAGTATAAGTTGGGTCGACAATGGAATAGGGGAGGGAAAATTCTTATAGAATAGGAAATCAATTACCTTCTTTCTTCAGTTTCGTTTGTCTCACGTAGAGCGCAATCACCATCATTGCCAAAAACGTCATGGTAGAAATTACTGAGGCGATCACAATGACCGTTTTCCTCTTCTTGTTGGACCTTCCCACTTGAGATATGAACAATATCAATTTACAAGTAGTACATTGAAAACAAATGCGTATGATGAAGATCTAAAGGGTTTTAAGGTAAAGAAAAATGGGAAAGACAAAGAAATTAAAGGGAAGCAATCATATGCAAAATGAAAAAAAAAAAAAATCATTCTTACCTATTTCGGAGCCAGCCACCCTGACGTACAAATCCTGCCCACCATCCGACAGCTCTCGAATATCAATCAAATCATCGAACCACATCAAACACCCGCTCTCACCATTCCTTATGTCCAAGCTGGAATACCCCGTGCAGGAACAATTCCCCAAACACAATCTCCGACACTCCTCCAACCCCATCGCCCGGTCCCAGACCGTCTTTGCAGTATTCGGCAGTTTGACCCCTGCCTGCCTGATAAACCCATCGGTCGAGTTACAAGCCAGCGCAGTCCTCCTAAGGCACCCTCCTTCCCAGTCCGACCGGTCCCAGTCACTCGGGCTCCTAGGTCTGAACCCGGTCAGACACTGACAGGCCGGACCAGATACGTGTAACAGTTCGAGTAGGTCCCACACAACCCGTAGTTGTCGCACCGGTCCCCCTGAGCCGAGTACACCACTATCCAGTTGTCGGCCCGCCTGCTCCACATCCATAGCTGGAACGACCCCAACGGAGAAATCGCGTACCTCGTCATGACCGTGCTGTTGGGCACCCGGAACCTGAAGTAAATCTCCTCCCCCTCGTCGTACTCATACTCGAACCAGAAAGTCGGGCTGGGGTTCAGGGTCGGAGCCCCGGTGTAGCGGAGGCCGTTCCACGATCCGATTCGAGCCTGGATCGTGGGGCCCCTCCGTACCACGGCCTGAGGGTACCCTTGCATCTCGACGAGGACCGAGAAATCGCCCTCCCCCGGGTCCTCCAGGCTCCTCCACGACGTCATCATCCGGTTCAGACCGGACGTCAGGTTCCTCCCGAACTTCATCCCCGGGAGGAGCGTGTTGGTGATGTGGTCGAAGCTCTGCCACAAAAAGTTGTCCGGGTCCTCGTCGTCCGAGTTTCGGACGACGAGGTTCCCGGATTCCAGCAGCTGGGCGACGACGGGCCTGCTGCGCAGCAGGCTCGTCGTCGTCGTCAGCCGTCTGGTCACGTTGGAGGACCAGACGGGAAAGTTGTCCCGGCTGCCGTCGGAGAGGACGAGGATTCCTTCCTCGGTGAGGTTGAGGAACCCTCGGGTGTCGGAAATGGGAGATCCTCTGTTGGCTACCCATACGATCGTTTGAGTTGGTACCCTGTATCCGTACCAGATTCCCAAGTACCGGCTGGTGGAGTTTTCCGGCCGGAAGAAGCCGAGGCGGAAGCTGTCTCCGGCTGAAACTAGGGACTGGCCGTCGGTTAGGGATTGGCCTAGAGTAAGAGTGTCTTGTTGTTGTTGTTGTTGTGCAGTACTGCAAAACGTCAGTAACATGCAACAGGAAAGCGACAATAAGAAGTGCAATTCGGATCTTGTCATCGAGAACAATTTTTTTTCTTTTGCCTTCTATCAAGTGAAATAGTGAATCTAAGAGGACGTCGTGACGCCTATTTGTGGCAGTGGGATTGCTGCTTAAAATGATACAAAATTGGAGGGAACGAAGACTTAGCGGGGCTGCGGCATTGTTATATAATGTTTGACTAAATAGTGGAGTGGAGGAGGGACTTGCCGGAGTCATCGGGGGAACGACTTTTTATTATGCGTTGGCCACATTTGTGGTCGGCCAGGCGCACGTACGTACTGACACGACTGCGTGGAATGAGTTGGTGATCATGTGATGCTTTAAGTTTTTTGGATGATGTGGATTTTTGGAAGGGTGAAAGTTCGGTTTGCGGTATGCGGTTTAATAGCAAACTAGCTTATTACCCGGCCCGTTGGCCGGATTACTGTATGTTACTCACTTGTGGAATGGGAGAGAAAGCAAGTGAGAGTGAAGGGATTGGGATTCCACTTGATTAGGACCGACCCACTAATACAATTCTTCCCGACCCGCCCCAACCTACAAGGTCAAAAAGAGTCAATAAGAAAATACGAACGGGGAGGATTAGTCATATATCTTGACTCTTCAGAAGTGGGTCAAACAGGATCAAGGTTGGGTGAGGGCAATTTTTAGCGCTAAGCAGAGTTCTGGGTTGAATACCTTTACTTAAGCCTAGAAATTGGTGCTGATGCAGACTGCAGTTTTTATTATACCATCATCAATCATCATTGAATTAGTCCTGGGCATCCCTCCCCGTTGTCGGTCTGAATTCTAATGATGGCTTCATTCCTTGCACCAGCCATATCAGCGAGTTGTCATCTCGAGCATGATTTGCCTATGTACAAATAATACAATTAGAGTATGAAAATGAATTCAATGAAAAGGAAAAGAGAATTCTATCACATGCCAATAAATACAGTAATACACACATAATAGTTGAAGCTAAGTGAAAGTCATTACTCGCACATCAATTCTAAAAAATTACAGACTAAACATTGGCTAGAATGGCACTGAAACTACCAAGAATCATGGACGAAACAACTTGTCAAATTAAATAATCCTTATACTGAAACTACCTTCTAACTTGAAATAAGACATGATCACAGTTCATAGCTCTCTTCTCACTATGAAGTGGTTGCAGCTCGTCCTTATCACTGCCTCTCAAGCTCAATTCAAACAGAATAGAGACCGTTATGTAAGATAACCATATTCTTATTGATCATAATTCCTTTCTTCACTCCATTTTTGTCGGAGAAAAGAGTTATCCCCCTCTCCTGCATTTCCCTTTCCCCCTCTCTTCTCCCTCTTCTTCACAAACCGATCCCTAAACCAGCAATAACAACACAAAAATAGCCTTCGCCTCTCCCGTCTCCATCTATTGAACGCGTTGGTGGCAAGACAGGACTGCAGAAGCAAAATTTTCTAAAATCAACCTAAATTTTTTGAAGCAGACTCAACCACGAAAAAAGAGTAAAGCAACAATGCAGTAGATAGGGGTGGCTATACGGTCCGGTTAAATTGGCCCAAATTGATCCGGTCCAGTCCGGTTATTTTTAGAATATAAGGACCGAAGATTGGATTGGATACAGTCCGGTCTTGATCCGGTCCGGTCTTGACCCGGTCCAGTCCCAATTCGGTCTTGATTTTATATTGAGATTGTGGGAATTTGAGTGGCCTAAGGCCTAAAAGGGTGAGGAGTTGGTTAAGTTTTGTACTAAGTGTAAAGGTTTGTGACCGTTTATGCAAATTACCCTTAAGTTTTGGGTGTTGAGCTCTCTTATCCGGTCTTTATCCGGTTTTTTACCTCAAATCTAAGCCCAAAGATTGGATTGGATTGTTTACTATCCGGTCCCGGTCCGGTCTCGGTCCGGGTTATACGGTCCGGTTTCCGGTTTTTCATCCGGTCCCGGTCCAAATAGCCAGCCCTAGCAGTAGAACCCTAAATTTAACTACAATCAAGCACATATCAGCAAGATTTTCGATTTGTCTGAGAGTTAACTACACGGAGAGAACAATTGATGCATAATTGAAATGCTCCAAGCAAGTTGAAGGCAAACCATAACTTTAGAATTTGGTCATTATAATAACCTTCAAGTATTGATGCTTCTAAGAACTATCATGTCCAACCCCCACTTATACAACTACGTAGCCATAGTAATTAGTTGTATAATGAGAAATATTACAAAGAAAACTACATAAACAACCAATGTAAGTAAATATTAAAACTAACAACTGATAAAACTTAAAATCTCTCTATTGGTATAAATGTATCTATTAGTAACTACTATGCAATCGAGTATATATGATTTTTAGGCACTGAATAAGAAAAGTATAGATGGCTCACAAATGAAGACGTAGCAACTGAAGGTAGCACACAAAAACCGAAAATAGAAAAAGAGATAAGAAAAAAGGCGAGAAAAAGTCAAACAAAGAAAAAGCCCACATAGGAATACGTCGCTAGCTTTAGGGACTCTCTGCCACAACAAACAACCTTCTTAAAAATCTAACACCCTGAGACATCAAACAAACCTCCCACGACACTAATGTATGGCATTCCTATTGTCCAATAGGTTTGCCCAATTTAGACTTCTAAATAAATGGACTTTTCACCATTAAACCAAAACTCACAATCATTAACAGTTAATGCAAAGACATACATTTCTGAGGCCAATCACAGCATTTAAGCATAATTTTTAGTTGAAAAGAACAACTACGTATTTAGCTAAATGATATAGTAGAATGGACACAATCTGCTACCTACTAATGATATAAACGTGTACCGGTACCATCGTTGTATCCTGACTTGCCATTTGCAACGGGCACTTTGAAAGACAGCTGCATTTTAGAGAATAAACACCCATAAGGGCGTTACGAAACCAAGCTTAATCCAAAATCTTCATATTCCACTTCGAAGACTCCATTTTCAAAATAAGAGAGTTTAACATGTCAAATCACTCATTTGAAAAATCTCAAACAACTATTAATCAATGCAATATAATGGCACGTTCCAAATTATGTACTTGTAGAAATAATCCCAAATAATTATCAATTAATGCCCCAACTACCTAATGTGCAGAATAGCCCTGGAGCTGTGCTGTTGTTTGCGTTGGTCTACCTTCAAACATAACATAGTTGCATCACGAACCAAAGCAATTAAGCAAAAATCTTCATATTCCAAGTAGAATGACTCAATTCAATTTGGCCAACGCTTTATACATATTGTTTACCCATGGACCTGTTGCACTTGCGCCTTCAGATCTTCGTGAACACAATACAATTGCGGAGAGGAGGCTGTCAACGGAATAAAAATTGTTAATTAAGTGAATCACACTACGGGAAAAGTTGCATTTGCCAACACATGAAATGTGTTGTAAGAAGTCCCGAAAGTGTTGTATATGCAATATGCAACACTTTTCGTAGTGTCACCTATAGGTGGTGTTACATAAAGTAATAGATAACACTTTTTTCACCTTTTGCAACAAAAATTAGAGTGTTGCATATGTATACCCATATGCAACACTATTTTAGGCAACAATTGTTGACAAGTACAACCAACATTATATGTTTTATTCATGTCAAGATTTGTCGTCACATAAGACATACTCAATCGTGACAAAATTTCCTTGTAACGAATACTATACACTTTTGACGAGTTTGTATTGTCACCAAATGAAATTTAACTGTGACCAATTTAAGTTGTTACAAATGAACCACCTCTCCGACAATACTTTTGTGAGAAAATGCAACTTTTGTGATGTGTTCTTGTCACAAAACTATGTTTTGTAACATATTATTGGTATACAATTGCAACATTGGTGACAAAAAAAAATTGCCGAATACATTTTTGTGACAAATAATTTTGTCATATATGATAATATTTGTGACGACTATGCATTGTATGCTATAGCGTACATTACAATCTATGCATTGTCACACAAATATTTTTATTAAAATATCAACACAAATCAACAATAATAATGAGAACTTGAGTTATCACAAATACATATTATTTGTGACATTATTATTGTCACGTGTAAGTCTTTTAATTACAAGAGTTTTCTTCCATAAAAAACTTCGTCAATATATAAATAATAATCCCTATAAAATAACACTCATCACTTCGAGAAAAGCCTTTGCTTGATCACCCCTTCAATCAAGAAAGTGCTACTTTGGTTGAGGCTTTGACTTGATTGCATCTGGCATGGCAGCAAAGCAAAGAAATTAGCCGATAAAACATAATAAAACAATAAAGAAAAGCAACAATCACCAATATTGAATCCTTTATGGAGAGCACTCGCATCTTACCATCAACGAGCAAGTTAGTAGATGTGTTATCCACTTGCGGTCATCATAAAGACATAAACTCTCCGCCATCATGGACTCCGGTTGTCGAGCGTGTGCCATCGATCCTTCCATGCAACTCTCAGCTGGAGGACTTTGTTTCTAAAGTCGTCGGTACAGTTGCGCCTCGAATCATCACCGCTGCTGGAACCTTTGCGGCGCTGCTCTGGTGCGGCGGGGAAAGAAAGATTGGGGTTTCATAGGGTTTTTTTTTCATCTGGCGGAGGCGGGATTAGCTTAGGGTTTTGCTATTGATTGATTTATATATATAATTAATAATTAGCAAAGATGTGTAATGTGTAGAAGGCTAGTTTAGGGATTTTATAAATTATGATGAACCGGGTAGTTTAATTAGCTTATGATCAAGGTTTAGAGAACAAGAGGCTTCTGCCATAAAGTCTTTGAGAATTAATTATGTCTACTGATTTTTAATTATAGATTACTTTTCAAAGTAATTTCTATTGCCTATACCTATATTTGAGAATTAGTATTGATTTCAGGGGCAAGTTATGGTGAATCTTCAATTTTAAACATGTAAGTATGCAAGGGTATGTAACTAGGTGGTTTTACATTGTTGAATCAATCAGTAAAATATATATTTAATTATAAACAT